AGAACTAACAAGAAAAAGAAGGGACAAGTATGTAGCTCAGTATTAGAGTACTTGCCTAGCATGTGTGATGTCCTGGATTTAATTTCTAGTACCAGGAAAAAGAAAGAAAGAGAGAGAGAGAGAGAGAGAGAGAGAGAGAGAGAGAGAGAGAGAAAAGAAGGAAGGAAGGAAGGAAGGAAGAAAGAAAAGAAAGAAAGAGAGAAGAAAAGGAGAGAAAGGGAGGAAACAAACCTCCTTTCATAGTTAGGTTAATCATGTTTTTCTCCCAGTGAATTGATGGAACAAGCAGACAGCCTACTGGAAAGGATATGAACGATTTGTATAATACAGCTAGCTAACTTGACCTAATTGGCATATTTAAAATGCTACATTCAACAGCTGTACAGTTGTGTTGCTTTGTTTTAAGATAGGGTCTCACTGTGTATATAGGGTCTCCCTGTGTAGTTCAGACTGGCCTTGAACTCATAGCAGTCCTCCTGCTTCAGCCTCTGGGGTGCTGGGATTACAAACATGAATCACCACACTTACCCCGCCAGTATTCTTCTTTACAAATATGCAAGGAACATAAGATAAATCTGGAAAGAAATAACTGAAGACTCCTTTGTTTTTCATTTGAATTGTACTTGAGACTAGGAAACACAAGGAAGACCTCACAGTTCCTCTACTGGAATCCCTTGCTGAATATGAAACACTGTAATAATGTCATACTTGTCAAGTTTATTTTTCTACAACAAAGAAGCACGTGATAGCCAAAAAATACCTGCTCTACAGGGTGTTATTTTGTTTGTTTATTTGTTTGAAATACTGGAATTGAATTTAAGACCTTTATTCTGAGCTACATCCTCCAGCCATTTTTCTTTTTCTTCTTTTTTTTCCTCCTGACACAGGGTTTTATTATTATAGTTTAGAGTGGCCTTGAACTCACAATGTAGCTCAGGCTGGATTTGAATTCGTGACATCCTTCTACCTCAGTCTGCCTCTCAAATGGTAGGATTACAGGTGTGCAGTGCCACACCTGGCTCTTTTTTTTTTTTTGAGACAGGATCTCACAAAATCACCAGATTGCTCAATCTGCTTGAATTTGCAGTCTTTCTGCCTCAGCTTTGTAAGGTACTAGGATTGTAGACATGTGCTACCATGCCTTTGCCTCTGTCTCTTAATTTTGTTGCTGTTTATTCATTTGGTTTTTAGTTTTTTGATGTTTATTTTTGTAACAGAGTCTTGCTATTCAGCCCACGTTGGCCTTGAAGTCCCTAGGTACCCCAGGATGGCCTCATTTATGGTGGCCTTCTTGCTTCAGCCTTCTCAATGCTAGGATTATAAGTGTGCACCACCATATTGGACCCTGAACACTATGTAGCCCAGACTGCCCTTGAACTCAGGGAAATTCTCCTGCTTGCCTCTGTCTCTTTTAAAGTGCATGACATCTCCAGATAATAATCTGGAATTGGGTTAACAAACCTAGCTTACCCTAAGAATCATCTGGAAAAATTTTTTAAAAGGCAACTAGGCTGATTCCAAGTATTTGAAAGTCACTGAAATAATGTTTGTAGAGAAGGACTCAGGGAGAATACAAAAAATATAAATGAGCCAGACATGGTGGCACACACTTGTAGTGCCAGCACTTGGGAGGCTGAAGTGAGGATTGCCACAAGTTTAAGGCAACCGAGTCTAAATAGTGAGTTCAAGCCTGGCTCGAATTATGTAGCAAGACCCTATCTTTATATATAAGTTGTGAAGAATAACTGAGACAGGGCTGGTGTGGCTAAAACCCATTGTATGAGACAAGAGACATATCCTCCTCTAAAAGTTTTATAAACATGGAAAATTAGGCACATTTGCATAGAGAAACAAATAGAAGCCTATTCTCTCTGCTCTCTAAATTCAGCAGCTTTCTTTATATAAATAAGAAGGCTAGGGGCCAGGGATTTAGCTCAGTGGGACAAGTGGCTGCCTGGCAAACACAAAGTGATGAGTTCAATCCCTAGCGCAAAAAAAAAAAAATGAAGAAGAAGGCTAAAGGGTTAAAGAGAGGGGAGGGGAATAGGAAAAAAAAGAATCAACATATGATATTATGTACAGGCACAAAGTCACTATGATGAATCTGATCAATATATATGACAAATATGTATTAATAAAAAATAAAGTTGATGGGGCATAGTAGCACATCAGATGAGGCAGGAAGATTGCTGTGAGTTCTAGGCCAGCCTGAACTACATACTGAGATCTTGTCTCAAAAAATAAATAAATAAGCCAGGCATGGTGGCACGCACCTGTAATCCCAGCATTTGGGAGGCTGAAGCAGGAGGATCTTTGTGAGCTCAAGACGCTGTTTCAAAAAGACAAAATAAACAAGCATAAAATAAAATTTTTAAAAAAGAAGAGGGCTATTATTTTGTTGTTGTTGTTGTTGTTGCTGTGTTTTTGTCTTTTTCCTTTTTATCGGTACCAGGGATCGAACTCACGACTGCCTGCTTACAAGGCAGGTGCTTAATGCCGCTGAGCTAAATCCCCAGCCCTGTTGTTGTTTTTAACAGTAGTAGGTATTAAACCCAAGGAAACCATGCTGTTGAAGTACAACCTCATTCTCCCTTTTTTCTTTTCCTTTTTTTTAAAGACAGGGATGTACGAAATTGCTCAGATAGCCTAGAACTTGTGATCCTCCTGACTCAGCCTCCCAAGTACAGTAGTTGAAATTACAGACATGTGCTATCATGTCTAACTAGGAGGGTAATTCGTAGCACTAGCTATAATGCCAAACATCCATATGTCAAACTTTTTAATACAAACCAACTTTCTTTCCAGTTTATGTACTGGTAGGCATAAGTATGTTTAAAAGAAATACGTGGGGCTGGGGATTAGCTCAGCGGCATAAGCGCCTGCCTTGCAAGCAGGCAGTCATGGGTTCGATCCCTGGTACCGATAAAAAAAAGGAAAAAGACAAAAAAAAAAAAAAAAAAAAAAGAAAAGAAATACGTGATTTCATTGAAGGTTTTTTAAAATTTTGTTTTGCAGCCCTGGGACCTCACCCAGAGCCTCAGGGATGCTAAGCAAATATTCTACCACCGAATTGCCCAGGGGAGCCTCTGTTGTCATTGAGAATCTATGAAAGAAAATGTGGCACATTATATTGTGGAGTATAAAGAAGAATAAAAAGGAGATACTTATGCATCAGTGATCAGCACTTAGGAGGGTGAGGCAGGAAGATCACCACAAGTTCTAAGCCAGTCTAGGACACATAGTGATTTCAGTGCTAGCCAGTACCTATAGCAAAACCCTGTCTCAAAATGCCAGGAAAAGAATGTAGGGAGACTAAGTCCTGCTTTAGAAAATGACCAGTTATACTAGCAGACAATAGAAGCAGACTAGATGGCCTATATCTAATTTAAGGATTTCTTAGACAGGAACTTCTCTGTGAATGTTACTAAGTATATTTGTAAAACATTTCAGACATCTTTTCTTTGTAAAAGAATTAGATTCCAGAAATATGACTTCTCTCATATTGTTATGCTGTAACTTTTTAATGTTCTCACTTTTAATCAAATAGATACCTATCTCTGTGTATGTAGGTGTGTTGAGCACTCAGTGAATGGATTAGCAGATTTAGTGTAGTAAGTAACCTCTCCAAGTAAGGCTATTTGAGAATGAACAACTTATATTACTCTGCACTCCATTAATCCCAGCACTCAGGAGGTGGAAGCAGGAGGATTATTGCAAATTCAAGACCAGTCTAGGCCACAAAGTGAGCCCAAGGCCAGCCTGAACTGCATAGCAAGACCCTGTCTCAAGAAGATAAAAAAAAAAAAAAAAATCACCAACTCTTAATTAAAAGCAATACCATGGATTTACCCTACTGATGCTCATGGGGCCCAGTCTAGGATGCCACTGAGGGAAGATGAACTTAGAAGTTCTGATGAGTTCAGTGACTAAGTTTTTGGTTTTTGTTTGTTTGTTTATTTGTGTGTTTTTGAGAAGAGTCTCACTGTGTAATTTAAGCTGGCCTGGACTCACTGTGTCACTCAGGCTGGCCTTGAACTCACCGATGTCCTCAGCCTCCCGAGTGCTGGGATTATAGGTGCATGCCACCATACCTAACTCTAAACTTTTTAAAATAGTGCTCTGAGGGCTGGGGATTTAGCTCAGCAACATAAGCGCCTGCCTTGTAAGCAGGCAGTCGTGAGTTCGATTCCTGGTACCGATAAAAAGGAAAAAGACCAAAAAAAAAAAAAAAAAGTGTAAAATAGTGCTCTGATTTCCCATCAGATTTCCCATAAGAAATTTAAAGTCATTATGATGTAGGATGCCCTTGAATAAATCTTACAAGAAGAAAAATGACTGTCTTGTGTCATTTCCATTTGTTACATTTTAACCTGGACCTTATTTTGCCCAGGACCTTTTTTTTTTTTTGTCTTTTTGAGACAGGATCATGCAGTTGAGGCTGGCCTTGGGCTTGCTTTGTAGCCCAGGCTGGTCTCAAACCTTGCAACCGTCCTCCTGCTCAGCCTCACCACCACACCCAGTTTACCTAAATCTTCTGCACACAGCAAACTAATCCGGCAGCAGGCTTCAATGCCATTAGTCTGATAGTAGAATTCTGTAAATCCAACTGTCTGCACATATCCCTAGACTTCCACTGAAGTAAGATTGAATTTGGCAAATATTTCTAAAAAATTGTGTTTTTTTACATTTTTAAATGAAAAATAGCTATAAGGGGGCTTGGGATTTAGCTCAGCGGCATAAGCATCTGCCTTGTAAGCAGGCAGTCGTGAGTTCGATCCCCGGTACCGATAAAAAGGAAAAAAGACCAAAAAAAAGAAGGCTATAGCATTAAAGGGGATAATTTTTCAATGCATTTAGTACACACCTTCTCCCCCAAAAGGTGCTACTTGTTTCTGATGTGAAATACAATATATGTTCCTTGATGCATTTCTGTAAAGTAGAGGCTCAACTTTAATTCCAGGACAGTTGTTCCACATAACTCTCTTTTTCTTCCCCTCTAGACTTCTCCAGAGAGCCCTTGGGACAGTAGGTAGAATGCAAAGCTATATTGTGTTGCCTTCCTGCTTTTCTTTTCTTTTTTTTTTTTTTCATTGTCATTATTGTCTTCCTGCTTTTTTGTTTCTCCCCTTCCTCCCACCTTGGCTGCTGCTTTCTCTGCTACTAATGCTTACTAACTAAACCCTGCATGTGTTATGAGGGACTCATGGCCTTTCTCATTTCAGTGCTGCACATCTATCATGTCAGTTATGTTTCATGTCAAATCTTTTCTGTAGGGCTGGGGGTTTAGCTCAGTGGCATAAGTCCCTGCCTTGCAAGCAGGCTGTCGTGAGTTCGATCCCCGGTACCGATAAAAAGGAAAAAGACCAAAAAAAAAAAAAAAAAAAACCTTTTCTGTCAAGCTGGGCACAGTGTTATACCCCTGCAGTCCCAGTTACTAGGCAGGCTGAGGCAGGAGGATTATAAATTTGAGGCTATCCTGGGCAATTAGTGAAACCCTATCACTATCAATAAATAAAATAATAAAAAGGGCTGGGATATATAGTTTAGACCTCCCTGGGTTCAGTCCCCAGAAGGAAGGAAGGAATGAATGAATAAATAAAATCAATATCAAGATGTCACTAAAACAATACCATATAAGACACATTAGAATCTCACTTGTTTCTCCATTTTAAAGTACCTATCTAATGCCCCACCCCCAGCCCTAGTACCTTCCAGGGCTTCAAAACTACCTAGAATCCTTTTTGTGAAAGGAGAAAAATTTAATAAACAGGTATAAATTAGGTGTTGTACTCTTCCGTGAACAATTACACTTCTAAAACGGGCAGAGAGAGGATAATGTTTAACAGAGTATCTTCATTATTGTGACTCACTAATGGCGGAATTCCCTGCTTCAGTGGTGGTATTGGAAAGGCATCCACATTTTGTGTGTGTGTGCCTTTGAAAGATTGTGACTTGTTTCTAATCATTTCATTGGAATTTTGTCCTAAAATGATGTCAGCTTGGTTTGATTCCTTTAGTAATTTATCCATTATGAATTTTGATACTTGATGTCTATGTGATGTTAGAAGACAGCATGACTATTCATCATTGCTCTGATCCTTTCCAACTACCACAGGAAGAGAGAGGAAGGGAGAATGTAGAGATTATGTTGAAGTAATAAGCTAGCTGTTCTCTTTTTTTCTCTCTTCTACAAATAACAGAAGAAGCAGGCCACCCCGCTTCAGACCCAGGCATGGTCATGGACAGCGTGGAAGCAGGCGACACAACACCTCCCACCAAGAGAAAGAGCAAGTTCTCAGGCTTTGGCAAAATCTTTAAACCCTGGAAATGGAGGAAAAAAAAAAGTAGTGATAAATTTAAAGAGACATCAGAAGGTAAGACATTAATTAAGACTTAAATACATGTTTCAAGTTAGAGTTTTTTAGTGTTTGTTTGTTTTGGCTTTTTTGAGAGGGTCTTGCTAGATATTTCAGGCTGGCCTAGAACTAACTTTATAGTCCAGGCTGACCTAGAACTCACAGTGATCCTCCTACCTTAGCCTCTCAATTATAGGGATATTTGTGTGCATCACCACACCCAGCCAGATTTCTTGTTTTTTTGTTTTTTGTACCAGGGATCGAACTTACAACCTTGCACTTGGCAGGCATGTGCTTATGCCACTGAGCTAAATCTCTGGCCCAGATTTCTTGTTTTATAAGTACCAAACTTTCGCACCCCTTCTCATTCTACTGTGGCTTCCTTTTTTAAAGAGGGAGTTCAGTCTTTTAAATTTGTTTTGTTTTGTTTTTTGTCTTTTCTTTGTTGATACAGGTTCTTGGTATGTAGTCTAGGCTGACTTTGAACTCGTTATGTAGTACAGGCTGACCTCAAACTCCTACCTCAGCTTCTCTAGCACTGTGATTACAGGCATGAGCCACCATGCCCAGCCATCTTTCATATTTAAACAGCCAAATGGTTCTCTGAATCGTATATTCTGTAGCTTCATTCCCAAGTTTATATTCTGATGGGATTAAAATCTATTTAGTAATGATACAGGTAGCTCCCACTTAGAATCCCAGTCAGTCTTGGAAGCTGAGGCAGAACTGTAAGTTCAAAACCTGCCAGGACAAATTAGTAGCACCTTGGCTCGAAATGTAATGTAATGTAAAATTAAAAAAAAAGCACTAAAGTAAAATAGAATAAATTAGTAAAGTAAAATCTCTTAAGGTTGTACCTCAGTGTTAGAGCACTTGTATAACATGCGTAACCTCTGTAATCAATCCTCAGTACTGCAAAGAATAAAACGAAATCTCTTTAGTAGTAAATAGGGGCCCTGTACTATTGTACATCTAAGATACTTCTATTTTTGTACTTGGTCCATTTACTATCAACAAGAGTTTATCCATAAATTCCTTACTATTGAAATTTCAGTTAGGGGCCAGGAGTGTATCTCAGTGGTATAGTGCCTGACTGGCAAGTGCAAAGTCCTGAGTTCAATTCTTGGTACCCCCAAAAAAAAAAAAAAAAAAAAAAAAAAAAATTCATTTAGCAGCAATTATCTAAAAATACTTTTTTAAAAAAATGATTTTTTCCCCCAATAGCACAGGATGAGAAACAAATTGAGGCAAGTGTTTTGTTTTGTTTCATTTTGTTTCATTTCGTTTTGTGTTGTTTGTGTTATTGGGAATTGAACTCAGGACCTTGTGTTTGCCAAGCAGGTGCTTGTACCACTGAAATTTATCCCTGGCCTGAGGCAGCTGTTTTTCTTTTTTTTTTTTCAACTAATACACCAGCTGATGTTTTTGTTCATAGTGCCGGAGATGAAACCCAGAGCCTCACATATTAGACAACTGCTGTACCACTGATTTATACTCCCTGCCTCAAAAATTATGTTTTTAAAATTATAGTTTCCCTGGTTTTCCTAAGAACAGAACAATCAAAAAAAATTTTTTTTTTCAGTACTTGCTGGCTGAAGCAAGAGGATCCCTATGAGTTCAGGGCCAGCCTGAACTACATAGCAAGTCCCTGATTCAAAAAAACCTATGAGTAGAACAAATTTGAACCACTTTATTCTTTTACTTGTGGACATACAATGCTAAGAATAATGTTTAACTTGCAAGTGCCACATTTCTGAGTGCTGTTCTCTAACTTAATGTTAGTTTTAGAGCGAAAAATATCTATGCGAAAACCAAGAGAAGAGCTGGTTAAAAGAGGAGTTTTGTTAGAAGATCCTGAGCAGGGTGAGTTGTAAATGACTACTGTATGCTTGTCTCTATGCACTTGGTCTCTGCTTGGGTCTAAGTATTTGAATTTTCTTTGTTTGCTTTGTTATCATTCTAGTTAGAGTAGAATGGGTTTTTTTTGTTTTTTTTTTTTTTTTTACAAAGTTCTCTCTTTTCCAATTCTCTTGCAATTAAGTTAAAGCAGAGAGGGGCTGGGGATTTAGCTCAGTGGCATAAGTGCCTGCCTTGCAAGCAGGCAGTCATGAGTTCGATCCCTGGTACCAATAAAAATGAAAAAGACAAAAACAAAACAAAGTGAAAGCAGAGAATCCTTGGGGTGAACACCCTTGTTTCTCTGGAGTACCTCCCCTCAGCTTTGTGCCAGCTGCAATAGTAGGTGACACTTGTTTTTTATAAAATCAAATCTGTCTTCATGCCCATGTTGCTGCCCCAATCTTGTTTATCACCACGATTATGTTTTGTTATTTTAACACTCATCACTAGTTTAATAATAGTAGGATTTGGGGCTGGGAATTTAGCACAGCGACATAAGTGCCTGCCTGGCAAGTGCAGGTCTTAAGTTCAATCCAAAAAGAAAAAAAAGTAAGTACCAAAAAAAAAAAAAAAAAGAAAGTAATGTCAGGACTTTCTAAATGTGTGGCTTTTTTTCCAAATGTGTGACTTTCCTGAGGCAGTTTAATATAAGTATCAATTTAGTAGTGCTAGGGAATGGACCCAGAGTCTCATTCCTGCTCAGCCTACACAGTAACAATTGAATTACACCCCAACCTCTCATTCCTTTGTTAATAATAGAAAGTAGTTGCTACCTTACTTTAGCTTTAGATGTAGACTTTTTACTTGTTACTTACTTACCTTAGACTTTTCACTACTTTCAGTCCAAACTCTACTCCTGATTGAGTCCACCTACAGAATGACACTGCATGGCCTCCTGGCAAGAAGTGGTAGGTCAGGTTAAAGAACTGGGCTAGGGGAATTCAACAGACTAACTTCCCTGTAACCACAGGAGATGTTAACATGTCCCTCTGGCAAGCAAACAAGAGAACAACTTGTGCCTATTCCAACCGCACTAGGAGATAAGACAGCTTTTAGTCTCCAGCCTCAGTGTTTTTAGTCACTTTTTCCTAAACAGACTAGGAAACCTCTGCAGAAATTAGTAATATTTGTCCAGTTTTGTTCCATGAAAGAATCTAACCATTTTCATAGCAGTAAGTGTTCATTTCAGGCCTTCCCACGGCCTCCAGTCTAATGATCATCCCTATAGTTTAATTTAGAGGAAAAATCAACATGCATATAGTATTTACTGCTGATCTACTTAGCAGTTCCACCCCATGTTCTCCATTCCTGCCCTCAGTCACTATTTACTATTTCTTTGGTTTTTGGTTTTGGTTTGGGGTAGGGTTGAGTTGGATTAGGATAGGCTGTGTTTGGTTTGGTTCGAAGCCAGTCTCAATATGTAGTTCAGGCTGGCCTTAAACTCACTAGGCTGGCTTTGAACTCACAGTAATCCTCCTACTTCAGCCTCCCAAGTGCTGGGATTACAGGTATACAACACCATGCCCAGCTTCTCATGTATATTTGAACCAACAGTTCATTATTGTTTGTCCTGTTCTAATCACTTCTTGTCTATAATCCATTCTCCTCTCAGCTTTCAGAGCTGACCTTTTATAAGATGGAGTGGATCATGTCTTCTGCTACCGCTACTTCCATGTCTTGCTGTTTATATAGGTTTCAGCCCAGGTCCCTTCACATGTTATTTGATACCCTTGCTAACCAAGCTCTTGGTTACCTTCCTAGTCCTACTCAAAACCATTACTTACATGCATCTATTGTCCTGCCAGACCAAATGTACCGCTTTCTGTGATGCTTTCCTAAATCCATTCGAACCTCAGGAGAATACTTCATTCATTCCTGCATAGTCTTTTAGTTAATCTAGCTCTTGAGCAAGGCATGGTAGCATACTCCCATAATTCCAGCCTCCAGGGGGCCAAGGCAATTTATTGCCATGAGTTGGAGACCAGCCTACACTATATAGTAAGTTCAAGGCTAGCCTGAACTACATATTGCAACCCTGTCTCCAAAAAAAGTGTGTGTGTGTGTGTGTGTCTTGACACTTACTTACTTATCCATAGTAATTCTGTCTTATTCTTCTTATTCATATAGCAAGGTAATTGGCATGCAATAGGCAATAAAATGTTCATTTTAAAAAAAAATTATTTCTGTTGTTACTAGAAAGTTCCAGTAACCTAGGTCTAAACATAAGCTGACATAGGAAAAGGGAGAGAAGAAGATAGGAGTAGTTATAGTTATCAGCTCTTCTCCCTATCTAACTGCCAGTTCCTTTACTTTGCTGTTTCTTCTTCCCCCCTGCAGGTGGTGAGGACCCAGGAAAGTTAAGTCATGCTGTATTAAAGAATGGCCATACTACCCCCATAGGGAATGCCAGATCTTCTAGTCCAGTCATAGTAGAGGAAGAGCCAGAAAGAATAGCGAGTGTTAGGAATTCTATTCCAGAAGAAGACTCAAAGCAGCAAGTAGGTAAGAAACTGGATTCTTGTGTTAAAGAACCATGGGCCCATCACATTCATTCTTTCATCCTCTCCCTGTACCCCTCCATGTTTTGGTTTTGCTTTGTTTGGGTTTTGGGTGTTTTGGGTTTTAGGATTTGGTTTTGAGACAGGGTCTCACAAAACTATGCTGCCCAGGCTGCCTACTCACTGCAGTGTCTTCTAAATGCTGGGATTATAGTTGTGTGGCACCATACCCTGCATAATCATTGTCTTTAACTCAGGTTTGCCAGAGAACAAGGAACAATAAAACCCAAGGGGAATTTAATTCTCCTTTAGAAATTGCTTAACTATGTGCAAGTTTTAGTGATATTTTCCTCTTATTGTTACATTTATGAGATTCTTAAATTTGTGTGTGGGGGGGTGGTTGTGCTGGGGATCAAACTCATAACCTGGAACTCGCCAGGCAGGCATTTATGCCACTGAGCTAAATCCCCAGCCCCCTAAATTTATGATTCTTAAGGAGAAAAAAAATTATCAAATTCTTGTGGGACTTTTTCAGGCTACATGTTTGTTTTTGTTTATGAAGGAATTTTGATATGCCTCTTCTGGTAGCCATGTAAATTACTGTGTAAATTACTGCCATAATGAGCCTCTGACTGATGTTTGTTAAGTATGTTGAGGATGGGAAACATGGAGAACCAGAACCTGTAAGCTAATCATCAAATAATTGATGAACCTGACCATAATTCCTCAGATACACTTCTCATGTTACTCTCTTCCTTTTCAGATCATGTCTTTTATTACCCAGATTCAACTGGAAGCCAGCCTAATTCTGAAGCAGAGTCTCTTCCTGAGAATGTACCCAAACAGCCTCTGTTACCCCCAAAAAGACCTTTGTCCTCTTCTCATGAAGCAACTGAAGGGCAAACAAAGGATGTCACATCTTCTGACAGCACAACTAGGTCTATGTCCTCCACTTCTGCGTCCTCTACCACCATAGCACCTGCTGCCACCACTGGTGCCACAAACCAAACAAAGACTGTTAACTCCTTCATCACTCCTTCCCCAGCACCCAGGACTCTACCTGCTGCTCCTGCTGGCACTAACACTACTGCTACCCCAAACCTTACTTATAATGTCCCTGCCAAGCAGCCCCCTGTCCCTCCCCCTAAGCCAGCTCACAGAAATAGCAACCCTGTTATTGGTAAGTAAGTCTTCAGAATTTCATGGTTTTACTTTTATCTTAGAGTGGTTATTTTATTGGATAACTGCCACAATATTGATTTTGGAGTTTTTTGGTTTTGGTTTTGGTTTTGGTTTTGGTTTTGGTTTTGGTTAGTTGGTTGGTTTGTTGGTTGGTTTGTGACAAGGTCTCACTGTGTAGTCCAGTCTGGCCTCAAATTTGCTCCAATCCTCCTGGCTTGACCTCTTGAGTGCCAGGATTATACAGTAATGATTCGATCTATGAAAGAGTTCCGTATCCTTTCCCTTCTTATGTCCTCAATATGGAGAAAAGTTTTGAAAATGAGGCATGCAAATGTGTACATGCCTGTAATCTCAACACTCAGGAGGCTGAGGCAAGAGGATCACCAAGAATTCTAGACCAGCCTAAACTGCATAGGGAGACCCTATCTAAACCAAACCAGACAAACAAACAAAATGCTGTGTATACTTGGAAAACTGGGTAAGTAAAGACCATAACAGGTTTAACATGCATGGAATTATCTGTGACACTTGCTGAAAAAATTAGAATACTGCCACAAGGTATAATAAGCTAGGCATACTTCCCAACTACAAAGTTTTTGTTTTGTTTTTAACTTTCTTTGAATTACCAATGCCTTTCTGAAGCAAAGCATAAGTAGGTTTAATAGATAAGATTATTTTATGGATGTCTGTGTAACTTGTGATTCAGTACCTGGTATAGTATCTTCATGGGAACTGCAAAATATAATATTTAAATTGTCAGTGAGTATGGTGGCTCATGCCTGTAATCCCAACACTCGGGAGGCTGAGGCAGGAGGATCGTTACCAGTTGGAAACCAGCCTAAGCTACAAAGCAAGCTCAAGGCCAGCCTGAACTGCACAGAGAGACCCTGTCTCAAAAAGACAAAAAAAAAAAAAAAAAAAAAAAAAAAAAAAAATTTAAATTGTCCTGATAAAATCATTTTTATCTTGGGAAGGTTAAAAATGCTATTCTTGTATTAAAATAAATGGTTGGGCCAGGTGGTGGTGTACATCTGTGATCCCAGTATACTTGGGAAACTTAGCTGCAAGTTTGAGGCCATCCTGGGCTACAAAGTGAATTTAATACCAACCTGAACTGCATAGTGAAACCTGTCTTAAAATAGCCATAAATAAACTAATTAATTAATTTTTTAAAATAAGTGGTGATAACTTAGAGGAGGTAATCAGTATATTTTATGGGCTTAGTACATTTTTTACATTTACCTAAAGTCTTATTTAGATCCATTTTCCTTTACCTTAGTGCGTACTTTCTTAGAGGAATCTTTAAGAAAGGAAAGTCAGGAGGGAACCCTAATGAGTGCTTCAGAGTTAATGAAAATATAGTTTTCAGAAAAAATACTGGGTTTACCACTTCTTGTTATTGATTAAATGTATGAAAAAGTGTCCATTAAATATCTAATACTAAGCTGGGCGTGGTAGCTCACGCCTGTAAGACAAAAAAAAAAATATATATATATATCTAATACTATATGGCCAAGTATGTAGAGTGATTATAACCTTGAAAAACAAGCTTAGAGTATATTGTATGACAGGTTAGAATAGCTTGATAAAAACAGTGTGAGCATTTTTACTGTTATCTCACTTTGGGTAGATAACATCATGTTGACTTACCTCTAAGGAACTTGAGGACTGTCATATATTCTTGTTTTTCAAAATCACCTTTGGGCTATAGGAAATCGATTTTATCTGGTATAATGAAGAGCAGCAATTAGAACATGAAGACATTGTGACTCACTCAGAGTTACAGTGAGAGGCAGAAAGTCACCTCTCAGGTGGAAATCTCTGTTATCTACTTTGCTGTTCTCAGACTGTTGTCTGACTGGTACTCATCAGGTTCCCCCGTAGAGGATTTATTAAAACATATGATGCCTCTAGTTTCTGATTCCAGTAGGCCCTTGGAAGGATGGAGAACCTGTGTTCTGTAGGTCCTCAAACAATGCGCATGGTGCTCTGCCGAGGACTACTGGTTAAGACTCCATCTGTAGACCAGTGTTGTTCCTCCCTTTCAGGTCAAGGTAACATATAACACAATGTGTATGATTCCCTGGGGTAAAATACAGAAGCCATTCCTGGCTTTTGATGAATGACTACCCCAAAGTAGTAGGCCTTGTGACTGAATCAACATCGGCCCCTGGCAGGTTCTCAGCAAGAGAAAAATAAATTAGTTCACAGAATTTTTGTTTAAGTTGCATAGATTGATTTAAAGGATTATACCTGATTTGTGAATTATGCCCATACTAATTATTTGGTGCTAAAATGCCATTTCTTTCACAAAAGGATTATGATCAGAAATTATTTACCTTAGTATCAACATTTACCAGGACTCCTTTAAAAATGACAACCTGACTGGGGATGTAGTTCAGTGGTAGAGTGCTTTAGTGTGCCAGAAGCCCTGAGTTCAATCCCCTACACTGCCAAAAATGACAATCTGAATTTAGTCAAGAATTTTTTTGTTTTTTTGATACAAAGTCGTACATTGTAGCCTACGCTGTCCTCAAATTTGTGGTCCTCCAGCCTCAGCCTTCTGAATGCTGAAGAGTTCTGTTTTTTTTTGTTTTTTTTTTTTTTTTTTTTTGTGGGGAGACTCTGGGAATCAAACTAAGGGTCTTTTGCTTACTAGGCAGGGATGTGCTGCTGAGCTACGTTCCTGGCCCCTAAAGTACTTTTTTAAAAATTGTATTTGTAACTGGGTGTGTTGGCACACACCTATTATCCTGGCACTCAGGAGGCTGAGGCAGGAGGACCATTGTGAGTTCAAGACCAGTTTGGGCTACAAAGTAAGCTCAAGGCCAACCTGAACTGCATAGTGAGACGCTGACCCAAAAAGACAATAAATAAATAAATACTAAATAATTATATTTGTGTTTGAAATACAAATATTTGGAAACCACTACTTAAGAAATGCTTCTCACAGGAATAACATAAAGTGTTAACAATAAGGAAGGAGGGCCAAGAATATAGCTCAGCAGCATAGTGCCTGCTTGGCAAGTACAAGCTTGTGAGTTCGATTCCTGGTACCAAAAAAAAAAAGAATAAGGAAGGATTACCACACATAGCTACACAAATGCAGAAAATTAGTAATCCATCCTAGGAACCCTCTGGCTAGATCAAACGTTTAAATATTCAAATAAGATCTCATTAAGGGTGAATTATTTGTTTGCTTTTTGCTGTATTAAGGATTGAACTCAGGCCTTGCCTGTCCTAAATAAACATTGTACCATTGAACTATATTTCTAGCCCTCAGGGATAAGTTCTGTTTTTGTTTTTGTTTTTATTTTTGTTTTTATTTTTGTTTTTGTCTTTTTCCTTTTTTATCGGTACCAGGGATTGAACTCACGACTGCCTGCTTGCAAGGCAGGCGCTTATCCCGCTGAGCTAAATCCCCAGCCCCAATAAGTTCTGTTTTAGATAGAATAGCTACCCACTGTTTTATAGAAGCAGCAGGAATCTAGTTCACCTAAAAATATCTCTTTCATTCATCTTAAAATTCATAAAAGTCTTTTTTTATCTTTATATACAGTGTTTTCTAGAATGTTCTTAATAAAATTTACTTATGGGTTGAGGATATAACTTAGTGTTAGAGTGCTTGACTAGCATGAGCAAGATCTTGGGTGTGATCCTGAGTAGTAAGAAAACCAAAAAATAGGACTGGAAATATGTCTTAGTGGTAGGGTACTTATCTGGCATGGACAAATCCTCAGTTCAATCCCCAGTCCTAGAAGGAAAAAAATTAGATCTTTTAATTTGAATGGCCTCGGTAGAATAGTATGTATGGCAAATAATGTTTTATTGCAGAAAATCTTATAAAACCTGTTTAAGAATACTTAAAGGAACTAAAATAGTTTGGCTAGGTGATTGGCAATTGGTGATGCCTGCCTGGTGATGCCTGCACTCAGGAGGCTGAGGCAGGAGGATTGTTGCAAGGTTGAAACCAGCCTGGGCTACAAAGAGATTAAGGCCATCTGGAACTACACAGTGATACCCTGTCTCAAAAAGACCAAATAAATAAAGTTGTCATATGAATTGTAAAATACATACAAGTGAAGTAAGATACTCATCATACATATCTTCATTGATATTCTACATGCATTTGTTTCAGGAATGAGAGAGATAGGAAATGACAAAATCATAAGAGTATATAATTTATTTAAAAGATCAAGACTGAGCTCTAATTTTAGGCCTGGGCTTAACCCTCAAAGCATTGGAAAGGCATGTTAAACTGACATGTTGCTCTCATTTTTTCTAGTTGAACTGTCCCAAGCAATAAACAATAGTACATTATCAAAACCATCCCCACCCTTACCACCGAAGAGAGGCATTCCAACAACCTTGGTACCCACCTCAGAATCTACTGCCACCTTCACCACAAAAACAAGTGATCAAAGAGAGAAGGGCACATGCCCTGGGGGCTCCGAACTACTGCCAACGATCCCACCTCCTTCCCCATCCCCACCACTGCCTACTCACAAACCTCCAGAACCTCCACGGTCCCCTCCATTTCCTGCTAAGACTTTGCAAGCTGTGCCACAAGTTGAGTGTCTGCGTTCCTTAGATCTGCCCCAGGAGGTTCACCAACAGGAAGATGAGAAAAAAGAAGTCCCCAAGAGGATTCTGGACCAGAGCTTTGGGGAGCCCCACATATCCTCTAGGCTACCCCCGCTGCCTCTACATGTTCGAATTCAGCAGGCCCTAACCAGCCCGCTTCCCGTGACTCCTTCCTTGGAGGGCTCTCACAGAGCTCATTCATTGCTCTTTGAGAACAGTGACAACTTCTATGAGGACAGCAGTACCCTGGGTCGAACCAGGTCACTTCCCATCACTATTGAAATGCTGAAAGTGTGAGTGCCTTTAAAGCTTGCCTCTAGTTTCTCCTTCTTTACTTTAGGTATCCCAGAAAAAAATGACTTACAAAAAGAAAATGTGAATAAATTTAAAGTACAGAGAGTATTCTGCCAAAAGGATCAGTTTTAGAATCAGACTATTTTTTAAAACCCTGCTGATTTCCTTCGGCTTCTGTTTTCTAAATAGAGAGTTCCAAAGTAACTTAAAAATTATTTATTTATGTATTATTTATTTATTATTTATGTATATAATAATTAAAACCATGAGTTTTTTTATAGGTTTATTTTTTCGATATGATTCTCTTGGTATGTTTTAAATATATGTAATGATCACATTCATTGTAGAGAATTTGTATCTATCTGTACATAGTGTACAACTTTTTCTCATTCCCCTACTCTTCCTTCAACCCCTCTTCTTTCCATTTACAAAAGCTTTGTGTCCACCTTTTTCTTTTCTCATTTTTTTTTTACTTTTACCTTCTTTCCTTTCCCCCTTCTTTCTGCCTTGTTCCCCTCCCCATTTAAACATTTTCTTCCTATTTTAAGATACTTATTATACACTTTGTTGGTTTCTCACACCAGAGAAACAAAGTGGTAAAAACCACAACTTTTATGTGATACAGCAACAGTGCAGGTACTTAAGGGCCATGGCTCCTAAGAGTTCTGCATTCAAACCCCAACTCTACCACTTCTAGTGTGTAGGAGCAATGTATAATAGAATATGCTACTTAGCCCTGTTTTTAGTTATTTCATGTGTAAATGAAGATGGCATCTTTGTAGGGTGGTGAGATGAAATTATATAGATTCTGGAAAGCACATAATAACTGGTAGAAGTAGGATTTGTACCCAGAGCTCTTTAGATTAATTAGTGCTTAAAAGTTTCTTAACAAGATAGTTATGGAAGGATTTATAAGTAATTTTGTTAGTGGACTTTGCGATAGATATTCCAATGCCTTGACTTTCATAATCAGTTATCCTCTAGTTTCTGAAACATAATTATGTTAATTTTTTTAGTCCAGATGATGAAGAAGAGGAACAAACCTGCCCAGTGACATTTGTTGAAGATGTGACATCTACCTCAGTCGTTCCTCAACTACCACAGTGTCTGCATGAGGAACAGGAAGAAAAGGAGAGTGACTCAGATTCAGAGGGTCCGATTCAGTACCGAGATGAAGAGGATGAAGATGAAAGCCAACAAAGTAAGAAAAGAAAGGATAAGCAAGAGAAAATTCTTTTACAGGAAAAGCTATTCTCTTGTCTTAGCAAGTGTAGAATGAATGGAAACAAACACCCTCTTCCTGGAGTCAGTCGTCCAATTCATTGTTTGCCACTGTGAAGGACTTCTTGACCCTGCTACCATCCCTCTGTTAAAACAGACCAGGAGAGGATGCCAAGTACATTGAGTCATTTGGATTTTTATTTATTTACTTCTATTTTAAAACTGTTCACACAGGGGATAGTGATAAAGGTCAGCAGTAGTAGATCTTGTTGCTATCTTGCCCAGTACTCTGGATTCAGTTAGCAAGAGAAGGAGCTCCCCTTAAAATGTTAAGACAATATTTCTGGGTGTGGTGGTATGTGCCTGTAATTCCAACTCAGGAAGCTGAGATAGGAAGGTTGCCACCAGGCCAACCTGGATTACATAGTTCAAGGACAGCAGGACAGCCTGAACTACTGTATATAGCAAAACCCTGTCTCAAAAAAAAAAAAAAAAAAAAAAAAAAAAAAAATATATATATATATATATATATATATATATATACACACACACACATATACATATATGTTTATATATTTGACAATATAGAGAAGAGAAAAACTGGCAGATGTATTAAGGTAAAAAGATAAAAATTACACATTCTTTCTATCTAATGACAAAGGAAAAAAGTTCCTTATTTAATAAGATGAAGGGAAAAAAATTTGTTCATATGCACAAATTGTTATAAATAATGGAATCCTAATTCCCAAATGTGGAAAAACAGCTTTAAAAGCAGATAGATTAGGGCCAAGGATTTAGCCGCTGAGCTAAATCCAATGGCCAAGATGTTTTAATATAGACGTTCTGTTGTTTGTTTCGTTTTCTGGTGTTTTGAGACAGAGTATTTCTGTATTGTTCAGGCTGGCCTCTAATTCATGGCAATCCTCCTGTCTGTCTCCCAGGTGCTGAGATTACAGGTGTACACCAGCACACTAAACAAATATAAAAACTTTTATGTTTTAATACAGAGAACTGTATTGCTTATAATTTCTCTCCTCTAACAATTGTCATTATTGAAAAAAATTACAGGGCTGGTAGAAGTGAGAAGGAATCTTTTGCCCATGAGAACAGAAGAGCCAAATCACTGAAATTATTTTTAGATGTCTTTAACTTGATTCCCTTCATCTATGTTTGGTTGAATCATTTGAAGCCAAGTAGGAAGCTAGCAGTTGTTCAATCAGACCCTTGCCCTGCTCCAGCTGAGGTTGAGCCTTTGGCTTTAAGCTTCTGTATTTTTTTCTTCAAAAAAAGGTGCCCTGGCCAACAAAGTAAAGAGGAAAGACACACTGGCAATGAAGTTGAGCCACAAGCCCAGTGATCCAGAGCTGAACTTGAATTCTTGGCCTTGTAAAAGCAAAGAGGAGTGGAATGAAATACGGCACCAGATTGGGAACACATTGATCCGGTAGGCCTTTGCATATTAGATTTGGTTTGATTATGCTGCTGTGTGTTAGCTGCTTCCACTGTGGCAGAACATGCATTTATTATCCCTTTTATTTTTCAGTGTAAATTTTAAAAATGCAAATTAGAAACAGTTGGAAATCCTCTATAAATTTGAAAACTAAGGAATTAACACTTCAATCTTTAAACTGTACATAAAACATTAGGGGTTTTTCTTTACTTTTTTTTTTTCTTTTTATCGGTACCGGGGATCGAACTCACGACCACCTGCTTGCAAGGCAGGTGCTTATGCCGCTGAGCTAAATCCCCAACCCCTAAACATTAGGTTTTGAAACAATTGCTAAAGAAGTCAGAGTGGCAACTCTGTTTCAGGGCAACTCTTACCTCTTTTTTTATCCACTGGCTAAAACATTAAGAGCCAACCCATAGTATTTATTATATGTATTTCACATGTTCCATGTAACAGGTTCCTTCTAAAATATTAGTATAGGGGTGGAGATATAGCTCAGTGACACAAACACCTACCTGCCAAGTGTGGGGTCATGGGTTCGATCCCTGATACCAAAAAAAAAAAAAAAAAAAAAAAATTAGTATATTTTTCTAGGCATTTGGAACCAAAACTATAGAGAAACTAAATACAGAGTGGCTCCCTGTATATGAAATACATACCTGTAAGAGTTCAGGTGTATATACATGAGTTTGCCTGGCACAGATGTTTCTTCCAGTAGAGAAAAGATAAGAAAGTAGAACTCTTGGGCAGGTCCCTGCAAAATCACTTAATGAAGATGTCAATTAAATTTTTTTTCCTACTTTTAAACACCTGCTTTACTGTGTATACAGCATCTAGATTCAAGTTTGTCCCCCTTGTCTTCCACTAGACATCTTTCGGGTCCTAAACCATTATCTGTAATTTTTTTACTTAAACACAGTGCCAATCTGTATAACCTTTGTGGTCTGACTACTACTGAAATTAAGGGCAATTAGAAGAATGGAAATAGAGGCCTCTCCTTGCTCTGACTGTGTCCATAAGTCAGAGGTCACCAATCTAGAAGTTAGTTTGATAGTTATACTTCTGGTTGTGATACCCGAAAGATCTTCTTTGGGAACGATGGTAGGCTAGCTCTTAACATTTAAGTCTCAGAGATTTAGTATCTATAATTCCATATGTACTTACTCATTCATTCATTTCCTTTAAAAAAATTTTAAACCTACAGAAAAGTTGAAAAATACGTACTTTTCACCTAGAAATGTTAATTAACATTTCCTTATTTGCTTTAGTGCTTGTTGTGTTTCCTCTGTATACATATACATTCCTTTTCTCACCTTCTAGAACCCTTTTGAAAAGAAATTGTAAGCATTATTAACTCTTTACTCTGAAGTACTTCAGCATTGTGATCTAGTGAGAAAGAATTTACATACCCATATCATACTTCCAAACTCGAGAAATGTAACATCAATACAATATTTTTATGTAGTATACCATCTATGTTCAATTTCATGAAACATCCCAATAATACCTAGTTTCCATTGTTTTTATAGTAGTAAGGATTGAACCTAACCTCACACATGCTAGGTAAGTACTGCACCACTAAACAATATTCCCAGCCTTTTTCAGTTGTTTTTTAGTTTTTGTTTTTGAGACAAGATCTCACTATGTAGTGCAGGCTAGCCTTGAACTTGCTTATGACTCACCTCAAATTCATGGCAAACCTCTTGCTTCAGCCTCTGGAGTGCTAGAATTACAAGCATGTGCCACCAAATCTGTGCCTCCTTTTTTTTTTTTATTTTTGAGACATAGTCTTCATAAACAGCATAGGTAGGCCTTGAACTTAAAATGTTCCTACCTCCACCTCTCAAGAACCTTCCCCCCCTCCCAGCCCTTTTTTTCTTGGTACTGAGAATCAAATTCATGACTTCATGCTTGCCAGGCAGACACTGTACCACTGAACCTCAGCCCTTAGTTTTTGTTTTTTGTGGGATTTTTTTAATATCACATGAGAATTGGTGACATTTTTCTGCATTTTTTGATTAATGCCTGTTGGTTATACATATTAATGAGTCTTATTTTGGCAGATGACATGCACATAACAGCTGGGAGTATAAATCAGTGACAGTAGCCCCTTTTTGGCAAGTGCCAAGGTCCTGAGTTCAATTCCCAGCACATAACATACTCTAACCTTTCACACCCACCCCCATCACCTTCTATAGCTCCTCTAGAAGGTTTCAATATGTATAATGGCTTTTATTTTTTAAGAGTATTACTGAAGGGGCTGGGGATTTAGCTCAGCGGCATAAGCGCCTGCCTTGCAAGCAGGCAGTTGTGAGTTCGATCCCTGGTACTGATAAAAACGAAAAAGACAAAAAAAAAGAGTATTACTGAATACTCCAGGCAGGCCTGGAACTCACTCTGTATACCCAGGCTAATCTTTTTTTTTTTTTTTTTTTTTTTGTCTTTTCAGACAGGGTCTTCCTGTTCGGTTCAGGCTGGCCTTGAGCTCCCTTTGTAGCCTAGGCGGTCTTGAACTCCCAATGATCCTCCTGCCTCAGCCTCCTGAGTGCTGGGATTACAGGCATGTGCCATTGCACCTGATTTACCCAGGCTAATTTTGAAGGCATGGTCCTCCTGCTTTGGCTTCCTGAGTGCTGGGATTATAGGTGCGTGCTCACTCAGCAAGTCTGACCTTTTTTGTGGCAGTAACTCATTAAAGTCAGAACTGGAGCTAGAATCCTGGCTTTCTATGTAATATGTGTATTAGAACTTTGAATGTGAAAATTGTTTTCATAAATAATTAGAGAAGTAAGCTGGATGTGGTGGCACACACCTGTAATCCCAACATACAGATGGATTGCTACAAGTTTGAAGCCAGACTGGACTACATAGTTCATGGCCAGCCTGAACTACACAGCAAGACCCTGTCTCAAGTAATCAATAATAGTTAGAAAAGAAAACATATTTGAAAAATTTTTAGAAATTAATACAAACAGTGGCCCACAAATCCTTGTAAGTTGAGCATTATTTTATTTTGTTTGGTTGATTTTTCAAGACAGGGTCTTACTATATAGTTCAGGCTGGCCCTGAACTACATAGCCTAGGCTGGCCTGGAACTGGAGGCATCCTCCTGACAGAGGTCTCAAGTACTCACCGATGTGTGCTACCATGCTCAGCCCAGTTGGACAGCTTAACATAAATGCCTTTATTTATTTCCTCTAGCCGGCTGAGTCAAAGACCCACACCGGAAGAACTGGAACAACGCAACATACTGCAACGTGAGTTCAGCTAAGGAAGTCAAGTTTATAGACTTTCTTTGTATAACTTTCATTTACATAAAAGAAAAAAGAATTTTTTGTAAGGACCAAGGGAAAAGTGCTCCAGCCAGGGAAGCATATCTTTCCTGTGATAAAACAGAATCCCCTAGGCTTCCTATGGAAGATGTTATCAAGGTATTTATTGTTTAGTGTACACTGATGTTCCGGAAATTTTGTTTTAATTTCTCATAGTATTCTGGGACTGCCTTGGACATTTCAGAGCATTTGACAGTGTGGTATGTGTGACTCACTTTGGTTTATCTTTGGGTACCAATGTAAGTCCCAGTACCAGTTTTCCTGATGCTGTTATCTCTTCCTCCCAAGGGCTAGGATTACAGATGTCCACCACCACTTGGGCTCTTAAGACTTTCTTACCTCTGTGGCCACTAAATTCAACCCTGTACTTAATTTGTTGTCTGTGTATATATGTAATTAATTTCCTAGAATAGTGTTGTAGTACAGATTTGATTTGTTTTTACAAAATTTAGTATGACATTTGGCCTTAAAAATTTCCTCACTGAGGAGCTTTAGGCTTCTTTGGAGTTGTTTGTGCACATGCTGAGTCTAACTAATCCATTGCTTACTCTCAGCACTATTTGGATATGCACAGCCTAGTAAATTTTAATTTACTAGGTAAATTAAATTTAAATTAAAAAGTAAAATGGCACCTTTATAGACACATCACACGAAACTTGGGTGTGGGCTATGTTGCCTGTTCTTATCAGTTATTCTTGAGCAACATGCTGCAAACTTTTTTTCTTAAAGGACTCATAGTAAATGTTTTTAGTTTTGTAGGCCAGGAAGCAAATGTAAGACTATGTAAATAGTTATATAAAAGTGTAAAGGTTGAAGCTGGGCGTGGTGGCTCATGTGTATAATCCCAGCACTTGGGAGGCTGAAGCAAGAGAATCATTGTTTGAGACCAGCCTGGGCTACAAACTGAGCTCAAAACCAGCCTGAGTTGCATACTGAGACCCTGTCTCAAACAGACAAAAACAGAACAGGAAAAAAAAACCTATAGAGGCAAGGTAAAAACATAATGAAAATAAAAGTTAAAATTTTTATGAAAGTCAGGCATAGTGGCTCATGTGTATAACCCCAGCACTTTGGAGGCTAAGACAAGAAGAATAACTGTGAATTTTAGTCCAGCATGGACTCCAGAGTGAATTGAACTGAACTGCATAGTGAGACCCTGTCTCAAAAAAAGGGCAAAAAAATAAAACCAAACAATTTTATGACCCTTCTTAATTCACAGGCAGTATAAATATATGAAGTTAGATAGATTTCCTACCATGTTTTGCTAGCTTTTGCTCTTTAGTATTTGAATATACCAGCTGACCAAACAAATGGCTTGATTAGTCTTTTCCAGAGTTACTTTATTCTGATTTGGATCTATAAATAATATCTGTGCTGTGATTATTAAAATGTTGCTATTCAAATTATAATTGTGAAGTAATAGTCTTTGTTTCTATCAACTGTAGCTAAAAATGAAGCTGATCGGCAGGCAGAAAAACGAGAGATTAAACGTCGGCTCACTAGAAAGGTATAGCTTCCTGAATTTTTTATTTCAGTCTGTCTACTGTGTTTTGTATTTGGGTGATATGTTTGATTGGAAACAAATGAGCTTAATTTATAGTACCATTGGAAACAAATGAGCTTAATTTATAGTACCATTGGGGCTGGGAATTTAGCTCAGCAGCATAAGCACCTGCCTTGCAAGCATGCGGTCGTGAGTTCGATCCCCGGTACCAATAAAAATGAAAAAGACAAAAAAAAAAAAAAAATTATCCAATTTATAGTACCATCAATTGCTATGAAAATATGTAGAAAAGCATACATTATCAAGAGCTTTTTTTGATTGTTATTTGGGAGGGGTTGAAGTTTTTTGTTTTTTGAGACAGTCGAACTATGTAGCCTGACCTTGAACTTCACAATGTAGCTGAGGCTGACCTCAAAATTGTGGCAGTCTTCCAGTTTCAGGTTCTAGGGTGCTGTAATTACAGGGTATGCCACCATACCTAGCTTTATTTGTAATTTTTTTAAAAGCCCCAGCACAAAAAGGTGTGTGATACATTTTTACCTTTTATTTCATAAATGTAGGATTATGGTGTAGACTAAAATTTGGTGGTTTTTTTTTTTTTTTTCCACGTAGTGATGCAAGCCTTTAATCCCAGCACTCAGGATGGTAAGAGAAAGAGCACCATGAGTTCAAAGCTAGTTTAAACTACACAACAAGACTCTGTCTCAAAAAACCAAGAAACCATCTTGGAGTTATTTCTTTATTTGTTTTGAAGTTTTGAGGGTTGGTTTGATTTGCATGGTTTGGTTGGGGGTACCCTCTGCCTTCCATACTGGGCATCAAACTTAGAGCCTCACACATGGTAGGCAAGCACTATACCCCCAACCCTGTAAAACTTATTAATGTGTATAGACAATAACTGGAGGAGTATGGAGCATTCAATTTTGCAAAGCAAACTGATTGTTTTCTAATCTGTGAAAAAATTGAAATAACCCTGAGCAATGCTTAAAAGTATGAAAAATAATTATTTGGGCCAGGGATATAGCTTAGCAGCACAGTGCCTGCCTGGCAAGCTTGAGGTTGTAAATTTGATTCCCAGTACCAAAAAAGAAAAACAATGATTTTCCACCTTGATTCCAGATCACTTAAGCTAGAACCTTTTCTGCGCTTGACCTGTGTTAGCACTAGGAGTCTTTACTTTCTTACCAAAAGTTTCAGATTATCTCCTGTGGATTCTGATTGGGTCTGAGGTTTTTTGTTTTGTTTTTTCCTCACAGTTTTCTAATATTTCTTAATACAAGAATCCCCAAAAGTACAAGCAATCTAAATATCCTACTTCTTCCTTTTGTAGGAATGAAGTTCTTATCCTTGATAATTAGGGGCCATGCCTGGACTTACTACCTTCATACTGAGTGGGTTACCTGACTGTACATCCTTATTATAACTTGCTACCTGTCTTGGGCATTACTGATGTTGAAATAAAATTAGCAAGTTTTACTACCTGGCCAGGCATGGTGGCACAATCAGGTGTGGTGACATTTATTCATTTTTATTGCTGAGTATTGAACTCAGAGCCTCATGCATGCTAATCTCACTCACTACCTCTCTCTGAGCCCAGGCCAGAATCTAAATTTTAACCAGATCTCCAGATTAAAATGATTTATATACATATTAAAATTGGAGAAGCACTGGATTATGGCAGTAGTTCTCAGTCTTAACTGCAGTGAAGTGCCAAAAAAAAAAAAGGATGAGAGAAGAAAAAATATTTTGATTCACAGAAGTCGCTGGGAATAGGATACAGAAACTAATTACGGTTGAAGACCTGAGTGATTGCCATGTTCAGTGAAAATTAAAAGTAATTTCAGTGAATGTTCAATAGCTAATTCCTGCCATGGTGAACTAAGAAGCTTCTTTCTTTCAGCTTAGTCAAAGGCCGACTGTGGCCGAACTGCTCGCCAGGAAGATTCTGAGATTTAATGAATATGTGGAGGTAACAGATGCTCAAGATTATGATCGGCGAGCTGACAAACCTTGGACCAAACTGACCCCTGCTGACAAGGTTATTACAAAATGCTCACATGTTCTTTCTGGAATTCTGTCTTCTCTTCCTCTTCCTCTTCCTCTTCCTCTTCCTCTTCCTCTTCTTCATCCTCATTCTCCCATTCCCCCCTCCCTCTCTCTCTCTCTCCTTTCTTTGAAAATACAAGATCTAACTAGAAAAGGAAACCATTAACAAAGCTTCTAGTTTTGATATAATGTTAAATTTCGAGTTAGGATGCAAAATGCCATCATGTGCAACCAAACATTGTATTAATAACTGTGCCACCAACACACTGAAAGTAAAGAAGGTTGCTGCTGCTATATTGTAGAGGGAAAAAAACCTAGGAGGGCCAGGTGTAATGTTGCATACCTATAATCCCAGCACTTAAAGAGACTGAGGCAAGAGAAGCACTGAAAGACTGAGGCCAGCCTGGGATACATAGTACATTTCAGGATGGCCTGAACTACATAGTACAATCCTGTCTCAAAAATACCAAAAAAGAGGGGCAGAGATATAGCTCAGCAGCACAGATGCCTGCCTGTTAATCACAAGGTCAAGATTTGATCCCTGGTATCCCCCAAAACAAACAAACAAACAAAATACCAAAAAAAGGCCAGGCATATGGCTCAGCAGCACAAGTGCCTGCCAAGCAAGTGCAAAGTCTTGAGTTCAATGCCCAGTACTTCTCAAAAAAAAAAAAAAACCTAGAAACAAAGAAAACACATTTTTGAGTTTTGAGAGTTTAGGGTGGGGTTTGGGGAAGATTTTTTTGTTGTTGTTCTTTGGATGGTTGATTGATTTTGAGATAGGGTCTCACTCTATACAGGTTGGTCTTGGACTCACTGTGTAGCCCAGGTAGGGCTCAAACTTGTGGTGATCCTCCTGCTTCAGCCTCTTGAGTGTTGAGATTATAGACGTGCATCATGCCCAATTATTTTGTCTGTTTTGAAACAAGGTCTAAATTGCTAAGTTACCCAGGCTGAGCCTGAACTTGCAATCCTCCTCTCTGCCATCATGCCCAGCTTCTCGTTTGTTTTGTTTGTTTACTTGTTTTTGAGTGCTGGGGATCAGCTTGTATACATTAGGAAAATGCTCTACCTACTGAGCTAGATTGCCTCTGTTTTGGGGTTTTTCCTTTTTTTGTTTCTTTCTTTTTGTTTTTGTTTTGAGACAGGGTCTCACTATGTAGCATAGGCTAGGCTTGAACTCTTGACAATTCTCATGCCTCTCTAATATAGGGATTACAAGCATACATCACCACGCCCAGCATAAAAACACCTTTTCTTGGTTTTTTTTGGTCAGCTGTTCAGTTTTAGGGTTTTTTTTTTTTTTTTTTTTTGGTCTTTTTCCTTTTTTATCGGTACCAGGGATCGAACTTACAACTGCCTGCTTGCAAGACAAGTGCTTATGCCGCTGAGCTAAATCTCCAGCCCCCAGCTGTTCAGTTTTTGTTGACCATGTTTCAAAATGAGTTTGGTCAAAAAGATCAAAGTCCAGGTCATCATCATCCTCAAATTCTTGTTTCTTCACTTCCACTTTCTTCTCCTCAGCTGGGCCAGCAGCAGTGGAGCACACAGGGCCTCCTGCAGGTGCAGCACCAGCTGTGGGAACAGATCTACCCACTCTTACATTGCATGGGAGGCTCCCAATTTCGACATTGGCCAGGGCCTTTGCAAACAAACCAATCCAAAAAGATTCACCATTGACACCAGCCACTTTAATGAGGGCATTAATCTTATCCTCCTTGACAGTCACATCATCATTGTGCAAGATAAGGCAGAGTAGATGGTAGATGAGCTCAGAGATGATGGCAATGGTGCAGGCTTGGCATGGTGCTAATTGCCAGATGAGGTAAGTGCCCCACCCCAGCATGACCTTTGCTCCCTCAGGAGAACCAAGCACATTGGTGGCAACTAAGAAAAGGGAGAACACATTTCTAACACTGCCAATGTTTGGAGGAAGATCAGGTGGTAAATTTTAACAGTTACAATATATTTTACTTCTGAATGCAAAACATTTTTACATGCTATGAAAACTATAAAAGCTATAATATCTTTTAATTATTTTGAATCTTGTGATTTAACTTGAGATTTTAGGTTTATCATAAGATGAATGATATCGGGGAAAGTGCTGTGAATTAAGCCCAGAGCAGTGTTCAATGTGTTGACCTCACTTCTTTCCTCCCTCTGGTTGCCTGGCCTGGGTTGCAGTGACTCACAAACTTAAGTACAGTAGAGATTAGATAACAAGTCCCACTGCTGTGTTATAGCAGACAAAAAATAATGACATCTTTTTATTTTTACCCTACAGGCTGCCATAAGAAAAGAATTAAATGAATTTAAAAGCTCAGAGATGGAGGTTCATGAAGATAGTAAACATTTCACACGGTAAGATCCCAAAAGACTCAGATACTAACAGCTATGTAAAAGTTTTCCAAACATACATATGAAAGTTGTTCAGGTATGAAGAGATCTGATGACAGCATTAAAAGGAAGCGATGATTACAGTACATTCAGAGAAAAGAAAGAGAAATAAAAAGCAGTAGTAAATGCCTATTCTGAGTTTGGCATTTTATGTATGAGATGTTATCAAGAAATAAGGTAAATGCTGAAATTTGTTAACATGTAGTACAGTAAGACACTGTAGCCGGTGAACTGGTTTCAGCAGGCAGAAGCGCCTGCCTGGCAAGCACAAGGTCCTGAAAGGGTACACCCCCTCCACAAAAGACACTTTATTTTTTATTTTATTTATTTTTTTGTCTTTTTCATTTTTATCAGTACCAGGGATCGAGCTCACGACTGCCTACTTGCAAGGCAGGTGCTTATGCCGCTGAGCTAAATCCCCAGCCCCTGACACTTTATTTTTTTTTTTTTTGAAAGTATACACCAGAACAAGTCAGAATAAAGCCAACTAAGATCATACAGTGAAATTGGTACAGAATTTCACAGCAGGTTACTGGGATAACAGTAATAGGTATCACAGTATATTTTGTTATCTTTATAATAGTTGTTCTGTCAGTTATGTATATCAAAATGAGATGAAATATAGAACACTATAGAACTTATCAAAACAGAATATTCAATAGAGCAGTACCATTAATTAGAAAAGAGCAAAACAGTAATAAAAATATTTGCCTTCAAAGAAATGGTAGAAGGAAGCCCCCCTTATTTGCTATGGTCAATCTGCCATGAGATGCTCAGATTTCTGGTTCCCATTTGCCAATGGGCGGGGCCGGGGGGAGAAGGAGGATAGAGGAAGTGGGATATTTGACTCTAGACTATGTAGCAGTAGGTTCACTATTGCTAAGCAGGGAGGCAGGATGGTCCTTTGTTTTCACAGCGTCCTCAGTTCCAACATTGCATGGATCTCAGGAGACACTGCTGGTTCTCCCCCTGGAAAGGCTGCAGTCTGCCACCCTGCCTCCGCTTACCAGGGAGGGGAGGTGCTTGCTTGGCTTCCCAGAATCCTAAGTTCCAACATGGTGTGGATCTCAGGAAACACTGCTGATTCTCCCCCTGGAAGGGCTGTAGTCTCCCACCCTGCCTCCGCTTACCAGGGAGGGGAGGTGCTTGCTTGGCTTCCCAGAGTCCTAAGTTCCAACATGGCGTGGATCTCAGGAGACACTGGTGATTCTCCCCCTGGAAGGTACACAAAACACACTTTAGTCAGGTACCTATAATTCCAGCATTTGGAAGGCAGAGGCAGGAGTATACCTGTGATTTTGAGGCCAGCCTGAACTACATAGTGAGACTCTCTCTCAAACAAACAAAAACAATTTAAAAGGAAGGGAGAGAAATTTGAGATGTAGCACAGTGCTCCCTGAGTTCAATCTCCAGTACTACAAAGAAAAATAATTCATAGCATATGGTAGCTCAAACCCAGAAAGTGGTAGTAAGAATGAAAGACTATAGATTTGAAACACAAGCATAAAATGAATAAGAGCTGGCAATGTACTGAATTCCAAGCATGAAATAAAAGAAATAGTCAAGCTCGAAGCCAGCCTGTGCTACATAGTGAGTTTGAGGTCTGGTTAAACTATATAAGAAGACTGTCTCAAAAAAAAAAAAAAAATCATTCTAGCTTTACTATTTTAAATAATGGGGTTTTTGGTTATTAAAAATTAAAGAAAAGGGCCAGAGGTTTAGCTCAGTGGCATAAGTCCCTGCTTGGCAAATGCGAGGTCCTAGTTCAACCCCTGGCACAAAAAAAAAAGTTAAAAAAAAAAATAGATATGGTGGTGCATGCCTATAATCCCAGCACTCAGGAGCTTGAGGCACAAGGATTGCTACAAGTTCAAAGCCAGCCAGGGATAAAAGTGAATTCAAGGTCGTCCTGAACTGCATAGTGAACTCTCTTCTTGAGTTCAGTCCCCCGCACCAAAAAAAAAAGTAGATCATCTCCAAGAACCATTGGAAGTTGGCAGGAAGTCTGTACTCCCTGCAGACACTCGGTATGGCAGACTGAATTCTTGGGTTGCATATTAAGATCGAAAGGGGAAGGTGGGAAGGGAAGAAAACAGGAGACTCTGAAGTTACGATCAGCAATTCATCAATGATGATCCTCTCCATGGTGATTTTTCTCACCTGGACCATTTACTAAACACACTTGTGTTTAACTGTATGTTCTTGTGACCTTCATTTCCCTGTAAACCCCTCTGCCCTCTGTAAGGCAGGTTTTTCTTTTCTCTCTCTCTCTCTCTCTCTCTCTTTGTTTTTTTGTTTTTTTGTTTTTTTGTTTTTTTGCCTATGTAGTCCAGGCTGGTTGAACTCACTATGTAGCCAAGGCTGGCCTTGAACTAAGGCCAGGCAATCTTCCTGCCTCAGCCTCCTGAGTGCTAGGATTACAGGCATGTGGCACCACACCCTACAGTAAAGCAGGTTTTACAGGGACATTGAATGGAGGAGGACGTGGGTCCTGTGAAGGCGTGAGGAGGGTCTAAGGTCAGGCCAGCCTATAATCCCAGCACTTGAGTGGCTGAAGCAGGAGGATCACTGCAACTCTGAGGCAAGCCTAGGCTACATGGTAAAATCATGACCAGCCTGAATGAGACCCTGTCTCAAAAAAAGTATATTAAGTTTGATGAGCCTGTGACACATGCAGATGCCTAAAAGACACTTCAGCATTCAGCCTAGAGTCTAAGAGAAAGCAAATGATAGAAGATAGTAGATCTTTCAGAGAAAAATTCTTTTTTTATAATGTAAAGGACAGACAGAGGAAAACTAGCTAAGACAGCTTACTGAGGAAAATCAGATGGAGAAAAAAGCAAAACCAAAGAAAAAAGTTACCGAAGCCAAAAGAAGAGTTTCAAGAAAGAAGAAAAGGGAGTTAAAATTAGGTAGAATATTTGATGATTCCTTGAACGCTTTTGAAGACCAGTAGAATCTGCAGGGTGTCCATGTCTAACCTCCACCCACATCCTTGAATTCGAGATGCTGAATTATATGCTCATTGTCTGAAACAGCTTGGTCACATTTCACTCAATATATGTAACATTTTCTTGCACTGATTTTAATCATGTTTAATGCTACAGAATAAAGGTGTCTCACAATGAAAAAAAAATAAAAAAATTAGAGTGAAGGAAAGCATAACAATCTGCTATCTGGTAACTTGTCTTTTTTGATCATCTGTTTTAGCTACCATCGTCCATGATCCTGAAGTTCAGAGAGGAACTAAATGACTCCCCCAAAAAACAAGGTTGCTTTGCAGCATGTCTCCAGAGTGACATACAGCGGGAACTTCAGCACTTCCCAGCACAGCCAGAACTCTGTCCTCTGGGATCTGGTTCTGGAGTAAACAGCACTTCAAATGTAGCCTTTCACTGGAATGGATTCTCATCTGCTGCTCATGGGGCAGAACCAAACACTGTGTCAGTGCTTTTGAACTTTTCATCACAGCCTACTTGAGGACTTTCCCCTCACAGCCACCAAAGTTCTGGACCACTTCAGATTCTAAGTTTTTTGGCTGCACCATACCCCTTCTCCACAGTGACTGCCTGTGCTGAGGCACAGTTTGCACCATTAGCCTTATCTGCTCTCCTGTGACTATGAGACCCACTTGTGTAGGCACTAAATCCCTCCCCACCATCCAGTCCAGTTGGTGGCAGGGAAAACCTTGTGGAGACCCCACTTTTTGGTAAAGGGGTGCTCACTTCCAGAGGAAGCCTTCATACCATACTGGCCTGTCACTTGAAAGCATTGCACTAAACCTTGTGTGACGCAGCAGTATAGTCCTCTTCTGCACTCAAGTCTGAGAGGACGTGCAGGACCTGACATTTTCCTCCTTTTTTGGCACTTGTCATCCTGATGGTTATTTTAAAGTGATCTTGAAGAAGTCCTGAGAATTTATGCTTTTCCTGGCTATTAGTCTAAGCTGCAACTAAAATACAAGTTCATCAAATGAGAAACTGTGTATGTTTTCTATACACAAAAACAAGGAAAATGCCTTAATATTAATGCCAACTTGGTAGAAAACTGACCTATGGCTTAAGTCATATAGGCTGTTTTATTTTACCAAGTGATACTATAAGTCACTTCAGTGCATGTTCTCTCCCTGGTGAGCAGTCTCTGCGAGCACTTGTGTGCCATGGGCCTCACACTTCCAGCCAGAATCCTGGCACAGTCCACAGGGGTGTGAGGAGCGGGGCTGCATGGGCATTAGGGGAAGGACAAAGGAGAGGTACAGTCACGACTGCCCTCACGGGTCCTGACTGCCCTCCTGAGGCACCTTCCCTCTCCACCGTGGCACTCTCTCTCCCCCTGACTCCAGTGGCTTCCTCCCCACTCATGTTTCCACTCTGTACCAGTGTGTCTTGGCATTGGCTCAGCAACCACCCCACTTTGTATTTGTAACATACATTGATATAGTTTTCTAAAACAAGTTTGGTCACTTTCCTTGAATTTTCATTGAAAACAAACAGCCTTACTGTTTGCCTCTTAATTCCTGCCCACATTATAAGTAGGAGAAAAAAATAACTTCTTTTTAACTGACGAATATAGCTTTTTCTTCTCCTCCTCCTCTTGTTCACTTTAATGTATCGAACACAGTGGCCATTTCGTAAATGTCTTCTGAATTATTCTGTGGTGTCTGTCATTTGTGTATAATCTTTCAGCAGGTTTCTCTTTTTTTGTGTCCACATCAGACTTGCTAAAGAATCAGAATATACAGTCAAAAAAAAAAAAAAAAAAAGTGACCTTAAAGGCAAATTTGTGGTTGGGGGAGGCTGAATTTCTTAATTACTGTCAAATGTTTTATGGCTATGGAAACAATATTGCACCATGTGTTTGAAGCTTAACACTTGGGAACCTGGGAAAGATCAAGAAGGACTCTTAATCTGTTAGAGGTTTGGATATAAAGTGGCCACATTAACTGCTAATTTGACGTGTCGTTCTATCTAGATGGTTTGGAGACTGACTTATTTCCACATTCTCTATGTCTTGAGATGACATTGTCAAATCCCTTTTTCACTTCAATGTGTTTCCTTCAATGTGCCAAGCTTGAAACAGAATTTGATATTCTAAACTGCTTGTCTGCCATCTCTGTGCCATCACGGATTCTGGTTAATCTTTCATCTCATTTGTGTTCTTTTGAAACAAGATATTGGGGGATGAAGTTCATTCACTTGTTTGTTTTGTTTTTATGTGTATAGAAGTGGATTTTATGTTCCTTTTCTGTTTAACTTGGAAGCTTACAAATCATAATGTAAAGAAGAAATAAAAGCCTAGTATACTTCAGGATGCTTCCGTGGTGTACAGAATCTCCTTGTAAAATTCATTAATTGTGTTGTATATCAGTCTCTCCATCAGAATTAATTATTAAAGTATTTTAGAAGTTCAGAATACTAAACAATTCTGGTGTGAGGTAATTATTTTTATGCTCTACTTGATTCCAGAAGATTAAAACCACCTTAAAAATGATACACAGTCCGATAAAAATGAAAAAGACCAAAAAAACAAATGATACACAGAATATTGCTAATGACCCTAAAAAAGAAATAGATGGTTTAATGGGAAGAAATAACAGGACAATAAATGCTGTCAGCAGTCAGGGTCTGTCACATTTCTGTGTGTGCACAGATGTGGAAAAGCAATAGCCAGTGAAAAGAATCAGCTGTGGATCTCCTAAGTATCAGGCAGTGCACTAGGTCCTTTTTCCTCTTCAGCCCAGGCCATTAGGTAGGTAGTACTAAGCTTACTCATGAAAACAAACTAAATTTTTTCCCAAAATCAAAGCAAATTAGAAATCAGTCTTCGCATATATTGGAGGACAGCACTTGAGTCCAAATCAGTTGACCCTGCAAGGATTTATTTATTCATGGACCACATCAGCTGGACCTCAGGCTGACCTCACAAAGAGATGTTTGGTGTTTCCTGACCTCTTTTGAGGTAAGAAGCCCAGTTTCAATCCAGGTGACAATAGCTCACTTTCTGCCTGTCACATGCAATACTGACCTTACTTGCCATATATATCCTTTACTGAGTTAAAAGATACCTTGAATCAGAACTACTCGTGTTATCAGACTTCTTATACTCTAAAAATGCAACCTATTTCTTTTGGGGGCCTAACTGATCTCTAGAAGGCTGTTTTGAAAGTGCACGTTGAGGGGCTGGGGATTTAGCTCAGCGGCATAAGCACCTGCCTTGCAAGCAGGCGGTCCTGAGTTCGATACCGATACCCTGGTACTGATAAAAAGTTAAAAAAAAAAAAAAAAAAAAGAAAGTGCACATTGATCAGTGTTTGTTGAAACACTTGACAGGTTTAGAGAACTGTACTCCAGAGGAGGAAAGTTTGATAAAACCACAACAGGAAAGGGCAGGTCCAAATGGATACTAAATGGGTGAGGAATGGGAAGATGAGAATGGAACTTTAGCAGTGGCATATTCCTCTACTACCAACTAGTTGGAGGCAGAGTTTGAAATGCTGGGCTGAGTATGGTGGTGCACACACCTTAATCCCAGCACTCCAGGAGGCTGAAGAAAATTGCAAATTTGAGTTAAGCCTGAACAATTTAGAGATTTCATTTATTTATTTATTTATTTTTGAGACAGAGGGATAGGTTTTAACTATGCCATTCAGACTGGGCTTGAACTTACTTTGTAGCCCAGACTGGCCTCAAATTTGCAGTGATCCTCTTTCCCAGTACTGGGATGAAGATCTTTAAATATAAAAGAGCTAGGAGCTAAGTGTAGTGGTACACACCTGTAATTTCAACACTGGGAATGCTGAGGCAGGAAGATGCCTGGGATACAGTGAGTTCAAGGCCAGCCTACACTACATAGTGAGACCCTATCTCCAAAAAACAAAAGAGGGAGATGGCTAGGAATGTAGTGCAGTGCAAATGTTTTAGGTCCAGCCTCCAGTACAATAATCAGTAATACAAAAATAAAAAGGGATATGAATGTAGACCAATGGCCGAATGCTTGCCTAACCTAACATTTGTAAGACCATGGCCAGGCTCAATCCCTAATACTGAAAAAAAGATAACTAAGCCAGGCATAGTGGTACATACCTATAATCCCAGCACTCAGGAGGTTGAGAAAATAGGATCATTGTGAGGTCAAGGCTAACCTGCCCTACATAACAGGCCCAATCTCCAGATCCCCCCCCAAAAATAATTAGCTATAGAGATGTAAAATAAGAATGTACAATAAAAGTTTAGCCTTCAAGTTAAAACAGTTTAAAGCTCACCCTCAAGGTTCTGTTCCTTCCCGGCACTTTGAGGCATGAAGGGAAACCAGAAAGTACCCTGTACTCTGCAGCAGGTGTCCTTTATGTGGCTATTGTTCATTTATTTCCCCCAAGAATTTTGCTCCCCAAAGCATCAATGTCATCTGAGAGAAACAAGCATCCTCAATTTCTCTGTCTCGAAGACACATCTCTCCCTTTCTTTCTTCCTTTCTTCCTTCTTTCCTTCCCTTTTTCTATCCTCTCTTCACCCCAAAGAAATCTTTTCTTAACCCTCTCTGTGCTGTAAGTTGTCAGTCTTATCTCCTTTTTCTGCACTCCCTTCACATAATTGATTCTGACGTTAATTTCTTTTGTTTCTCTCTCTCTCTCTCTCTCTCTCTCTCTTTTTTTTTTTTTTTTTTTTTTTTTTGAGAGGTTCTCATCATGCAGTTCAGGCTGGCCTTGAGCTCACTTTATAGCCCAGTTTGGTCTCGAATTTGCAACAATCCTCCTGCTTTAGTCTCATGAGTGTTGGGATTACAGGCGTGCACCACCCACCCAGCTAATAAAGTAAGTTCTTATGAAGTCCAGGCAGTTGAGCTAAATGACTGACAAGTAGAGGGGAAAAAAGTGACAGAGATGTAAACAAATTTCCTAGGACACCCACTGTAAGCCAAAACTCCAGGCCTTTTCTTTATAATTATCTTGAGATAAAATCTAACTAAATTGCTAAGGTTTGAATTTGCAGTTCTGTCTCCCAGAATGCTGGAATTACAAGTGTGGTCCACCACACTAGGTTTGTTTCCCTTGTACAATTATAAAAAATTATGCCAGTTTAACCATGTAGCTCAGTATCAGAATTCATGCTTAGTATGTACAAATCCATAGGTACAATCCTTAGCGCACACACACACACACACACACACACACACACAAAGCCTTAAAGCCAGAATCAATGTTATGTGCCCATAGCTGCAGCACTTGAAGACTGAGGCAGGAGGATCAATTAATCCTAAAGTGTTGAACTATTTCAAAATTTAAAAAAAAATTCAGAGTTCAAAAAACAAAAAAACTTGTTTCTGTGGGTGATACCAACTGATACTATACTAAAATGTGAGAAGTCTAGTTTCTTTAGGATTTTTTATTGGTGTATTTTAGATACACACGATGTGGGGCTGGGGATTTATCTTAGTGGCTTAAGTGCCTGGCTGGTAAGTGTAAGGTCATGAGTTCGACCCCCGACAATAAAATTAAAAAATATATTAAAAAAACATGATAATAATGTTCATCATAGGGAATTTCTACCCATACAGATACATCTTGTTTCTTCCTTTTCCCCATTACCCCCTTCAGCTTTTCTTCCCTTCCTTATTTACAAAAGCTTCGTTTCCATTTTTTTCTATTCTTTTTTTTTCTTGTCCCTTCCTCTCCCCTCCCCCATCCCTTGTTCCCCTTCTCATTTGAACATTTTCTTCCCATTTCCCTATATATTTTGGGTGTTTTGTTTTGTTTTGAGACAGGATCTCACTTCCTAGCAGGCTGACCTCAAATTTACAGCAATCCCCCTGTCTCAGTCTCCCAAGTGCTGGGCTTATAGACATGTGCTACCATACCCCGCAAAATGTAGTATTTAAGATCACAACACAGTCATGCTTTTCCTAGAGTCAACCATTGTATTTTTGTATTCAGGAAGTGTTTTATATGTAGTACTTTTCACACAATATTAAAGAAACAGACACTTAAACGTTGAGAATATGTTGGACGCGGTTTCATACAGTTGTAAGGTACTTTGGAGGCTCAGGAAAAAACAAAACACAGATTTAGGGGCTGGGGATTTAGCTCAGCGACATAAGCACCTGCCTTGCAAGCAGGTGGTCGTAAATTCGATCCCTGGTACCGATTTAAAAAAAAAACACATATTTAAGGACAGCCTGCACAACTCTCAGCAAACTCCCGCTCACAAGCTCCAGTATCGCGAGAAGCCTTCAATCCAGGTAGGGGTGGGGCTCAACTGTGTACATCCCAGGAGCCTTAGCGAAATTCCAATTTCCTAACTGCGCATGTCGTAGCGTAGGCGCGCTAGCCATTCCTTGACGTCGGGACCCGCCACGAATTATAAATACGACTGCTTCGGGGCTTACTCCATCTTTCAGACAAAGGCTAGCTCACTTTTTTTCATCACGTTGGTGAGTGCTTTTACCTGCCTGATTCATTTGCTGTAGATCTTAGCAACTATCCTTTCTTGAGGCTATTATTTAGAACAGATGCCTTTAGCAGCGTCCAAACCTATTAGGCTTGAGTGAAGCCTGAGCAGGACGTAGGCTGCTGAAGAATCGCTACCGTGAATACCCAAATGCCCACGGGGCCTCCTTTCTCCTCCAGGATGCTAAGATTATAAGCATACTGCTTCCTGGAGGGTACATGTCCGCGAATGGATCTCTACACGCGTATGTTAATGGGCTTCCCTTTATGACTAAAAATTAACACTTAAAAGATCAGGCTTGGTGGTACATGCCTACAATCCCAGCACGCTGGAGACAGAGACAAGAGGATTGCAAGTTTAAGGCCAACCTGGGCTACATAGTTCAGCATTGTGAACTACATAGTGAGACCTTGTCTCAAAAATATTAATAACAATTTGAGGGAATATGAAGACTCCATGATAGAATTTAGGATGGGTGAACGAGTTACCTCTGCTTTAACCATTACCTTCCACTGAGTGTTAATATCACATTGAAGTTCCTAGATAAATTTGCTGAAAGTTACCCTAGAGTATTAAATCAAACCCAGGGCATTTGTGTAGACCTGCATCCCAAGACCTTGTATTTTTTGTTGTTGTTTTTGTTTTTTAAGGTGAGGTGCAGCTAAATTTCTCAGGATGGCCTTCAATTGTGGTTCTTCTGCCGATGATGGAGCATGTGCCATCATCCCTGGCTTGAAAATTAAGTTTGTGATAATGTGATGATCAGTTTGCATTTATTGGGCTTAATGATCTATTATAATGTATCCTGGGAAAATCACTATCCACTAGATGAAATTTTTTCTCAGCACAGTCTGTAAGTTACATGAGTTTCTCTGAGTGTCCCAACGTGGATACCCCGGGAGGTCACTCTCCCCGGGCTCTGTCCAGGTGGCATAGGGGAGCATAGGGCTCTGCCCCGTGATGTACAGTCCCTTTCCACGACGTTGGAGAAGAAGCTGGGCCTTGTGTCTGCACCTGCATATTCCTACAACTTCTCAGAGCCTTTTGGGCAGTGACTGAGGAGATAAACCATGCAGGAAACAGTCCTAGATCTTGCAGTGTGTATATAAGTTAGTCTCATTGAAGGAAAATCTGTTTTTAATCTCTTACTTGGTGAATGGTTTTCCTTGCAGAATTTTTTGAAAATTCCAGATTTAGCCAGGTAAGTAAATCAGCTCTGAATTGCTTTGGGTTAACAGTATTTGTCAGGTCATCCTTGTTCCACCTTGTGAAGCTCCACCTCTTGAGACATTAATCATTGTAGGCACAGAACATGGTTCTATCCAGGACAAATTTGGCTGCATTTTGATGTAAATTAAGTGAACACTCATGCCTTGTGAAAATTGTTTTTTTAGTCTTATAAGTAAAATACTCACATTTTACATGCTTACGTGGTTCAGGGGAAAATAAGTTAAATGAAAATCCCCTGAGAATATAGCTCAGTGGATAGAGGTTCCATCTCCACTATTAGGAAAAAACAGTGAGAGGATTAAAAATGACATACTAAGGCATGGTGGCATAAGCCTGTTGTCGCAGCACTTGGAGGCTGAAGTAAGAGGATCCCTGGGAGTTCAAGGAAAGCCTGTACTATGTATAAGACCCTGTCTCAAAAACTAAATAAATTGGGGCTGGAGATTTAGCTCAGCGGCATAAGCACCTGCCTTGCAAGCAGGCGGTCATGAGTTCGATCCCCGGTACCATTAAAAATGAAAAAGACAAAAAAAAAAACTAAATAAATAAAAACCAGGAGCTAAACCGGGCATGGTGATTCATGCCTGTAATCCCAGCACTCAGAAGGCTGAGGCAGGAGGATCATTTCGAGTTCAAGACCAGCCTAGGCTACAAAGTGAGCTCAAGGCCAGCCTGAACCGCATAGAGAGACTCTGTCTCAAAAAGACAACAACAACAACAACAAAAACCACAGGAGATAGGATGGATTAACCAGCGTCACAATTGCAGAGCTTTCCCCTCAGCCAAGTAAATAACATGTTGCTGGCCTCTGTCCAGGAGATAAAAAGGTTTTTTGCAACTGTTACCATTAAATAACAAAGTTAAGTATTACCATTAATTAACAATGGTAAATAGATGAAATATGGAATAAACAGTAACTCTTTAATTGACCCTAGGTACCCTAACAATCTGTCTTGCTGCATGTTTACTCTTGGAATAACCGAAGCTTGCCAGGATACTTTTAAGGAGTCTTGGTATTTATGAGTCTAAGTTGGCAAGCAGTCACGAGGAGATGGGCAATGACTAAGGAGATAAATCATGCCAGAAACAGTCCGGTAAACTAAGACTTTCAATTTGAATGACAGATTTCAAGAATATAATCTTGTGTTTCTTTTCATTCAGGAGAAAAGAGCCACATTGAATTTGGCCATTCATGTGTGAGACGTGTTCAAAAATACAGTGAATGCTGCTGCTGAGAGCCATCAAAGGGATAAAAGAGGGATCTTCAATATAAGCAGTAGCTTTGTGGAACCTTAGAAACAGTGTTACAAGTTTTTATCTTGTTGGTATCAGTGGGTTGTGAGCTACCTTTGAGAGATATTTTCAGCTCTTGCAAATAATGGATCATGAACAGCGCATTAATGTGGAATTTTGTTTCAAACTGCAAAAAACTGCTAAAGAAACACATGAAATGTTAAAATTAGTATATGGTGATGGTGCAGTGACCATGGAGACAGTTTGCGAATGGTTTGAGCAGTTTCGTAATGTTTGTGAGTCAGTTGAAGACAAAAAGAATATCCTTCAACATCAAAAACCCAAAAAAAGATTGAAAGAATAAGTGAAGTAATCGAATCAAACAGACAGCTGACTCCTAGGGACATTACAGAGGATACAAAGGTCAGTTCCATTCACAGCATTTTAACAGATGTGACTATGAGCTGAGTGTCAAATTTGTCTTGCATGTTTGACTGCTGAACAAAAGTACCATCCATTGTAATTCTTTTGAGCTGTACACTTGGGCCACATCAGATTTGAATAAATGTCATGAAGGAACAGGAACTTGGGTCAGTGATTATGATCCTGAGATCAGGGTTCAGAGTTCTCAGTGGAAATCACTCTGCTGGCCTTGCAAAAGGAAAGTAAATCAGGCAAGATCCAACATAAAGGTGATACTGTATTTTTTGACCTTGATGGGATTGTGGGAGTTGAGTTTTAACCAAGAAGTGATTATTAGAAGAGCTTGTTATGGGGGCTGGGGATTTAGCTCAGCGGCATAAAGCGCCTGCCTTTATGTGTATGGTTGTGAGTTCGATCCCCGGTACCGATAAAAAAAGAAAAAACCAAAAAAAAAAAAAAAAGAGCTTGTTAGGGCATTTAAGAAATGATGTGTGAAGAAAATAGCCTAAGAAATGGACAGGTGGTTTTATCCTCCATTATGACAAGACCATGTCATGCATCACTTGATAGAGCAATTTCTGTTAAAAATGTGATTGTCTACCTTACTGGATCTGAAGCTGCAAATTCTGTTCCCCAAAGTCAAAATAACCATGAAAGGTAAACATTTTCAATGAACTCAATTATCAAGGTAGCCACCACAGCACAGTCACCCACACAGACTACCAGAACCTTTTCAGGGTTTCGCTGAGTGACCCAGGCTGGGCTGAAATTTGTGATCCATCTGCCGCAGCCTCCCAGAGTGGGGGCTACAGGCACAAACTATCATGCATGGCTTTTTTTTTTTTTTGTACCCGGGATTGAACTCTGAACCTCATGCTTGCCAGGCAGGCACTTATGCCACTGAGCAAAATCCCTAGCCCAACATGCATGGCTTTAAAACAACCCTATAAACCGAAAAGCCTGCTATTCCAATATCAAAGACTGAAATCATCTAAGAATTAGTCAAATGTTTACATTCCTTTGTCACCCCCAGATATCTTATCCAGTGACAGTGGGCCTCTCAGCTCAGTGCCCATTGACTTCTAAGAAATTTAAGGCACTAGGTATGGGCAGGTCAGTTAAGTGGAGAATAGTTCTTGGCCTTAGCCTCAATCTCCAGCACTCCAAAAAGAAAGTTCTGCCAAGTTGAAATTTCTCATAGCATTTGACTTTTTTCACCTGTTTTAGTTTTGGAGACAGGGTCTTGCTATGTACTTCAGTGTGGCCTCAAACTTGCAGCAATCCTCCTGCCTCAGCCTCCCAAGTGCTGCGATTGTAAGTGTGAACCACCACCCCTGGGCTTTCCATCATTTTTAAGGAGATAATAGTTTCCAAACAAAACTAGTTGTGTTTTTAAATAAATAAATTACACATGAAATACACCTAACAATTCAGATAAAATTGGCATACTTATGAATTTGAAATAAAGATAACTGTGGTTCCTTTACTTAGACATGTAATAAGGACTTTGGTCAAACTAGTATTAATAGATTTTATTCAAAGGTAAAGCACCTTCCAGTGAATTTGGGGTACCATGCGGGTAATCAGTGATTGGTCATGGATATTGAATGAGGGGTCAAGTTTGAGCATAATTGCTTGTCAAACTGCTACACGGTATGTGGGAGAATTGACTAGGGCACTGGTGACAAACCTATGGCACTCATTCTGCAGCAGGCTGTGTCACTGAAAGCTCTACAAGGTTTCATCACTGCCTTAAGGGCTAATAGACTGCTTTGAACAGCTAATGTGTTCCTTTCCTCTGCCTCCTTTTTGTTTATGGCTGTGTGCCTCTGTTTCATCATCTTTGAAGTGGAAGCAGCTTTTTGTTTGTTTTGGTTTTAGGACTGGCAAATGAACCCTGGACCTTTCCTTCGAGCTGCATCCTCATGGCCAACCCCTTTTTTATGAAATTGTCTCACTAGGCTGCCAAACTTGACTTGAACTTGAAGCTCTCCTCTTCAGCCTCACAGAGTGTTGGGCTACCTCCTGCTTCTCCTGCACTTAAGTCTAAAGTTCTCAGCTTGCTTTGTGTAAGTTAAGTCAGTGGAAACCTTGAGAAAGCCCTGCTCTCACTACCACCATGTTATTCACATCTAATTTCCGTTTTAATAAAAATGACTTTAAAGTCTGTATCTGCTGTGTTCAATGTACATTTATTTTTTTCTGGGCACATGCTTTTTCAACTTTAGAAAATCAAATCCAGATCTTAGTACCGCCTTAGCCCACCCAGCCTTAACTCATTCAGAGATTAGGGAGATCAGCAGCGACACAGAAACCCCGAAGTCACAGGGCCTGCCTCTTAAGCATACTTTTCTTCGCTGCCAGCTTTTTGGGACCCCAAGACCACCTCAATGAGCTTGGGCTCGAAGTCCAGCCAAATGTGCAGGCACTTGGTGGTCAGCATGGATGCCAGATGCCCCTCCTGGCAGTCTAGTCCCATTTGAGCACATTGGTGCCCATGTTGAGTGGGAGATTTTGGTTGAAAGTGGCCCTTGGGTTGGGAGGCAGAAAAGCCCTTCCCCAGCAATTGACACCCAGCATATGGGGTCCTCCTGGACCTCTAGACCTTGCCCTGCAGGTCGATGCCTCACTGGGGGAGATCTTGATGCCTTTTGGTGGGTCTGCTGCTACCAGTGTAGCCATCCACCAGGCACATGATGTGGAAAGACAGGATCTCTATGTCGGGAGGAGTTTCTGAAGGCCGAGCCCAAGGCCAGATTTCGCCCCGGGCCCCTTCTGCGTGCAGACCACCAGCCAAGAATGAGGTGCTAACTGAGGCAGTGTGGCCTTGAGCCCTGGACAGCCCATCTGCGCTGCCTGCTGGCTCCGATGCCAGCCCCGTACTGCACCCACCACTCTGCACACATTGGTACGTACCTAGTGTCATTGCTGTATGTTGCTTCAAACACAGTAATCAGTGTATTGTAGATACATAGATGGAACCAATGCCACCCATTCTCAAATAAGTTATTCTGTAATAAAATAGTTTTTGTTTTGCTTTGTTCATTTGTTTGACACAGGGTTTTGCTGTTGTAGTACAGGCTGGCCTTGAACTCACTATGTAGCCCATGCTAGCCTTGAACTCCTGACATCTTCCTGCCTCAGCCTCTCAATTGCTAGGATTGCCGGCATGCATCACAACACGCAGCTGAAACTGGAATTTAGTTCATAACCCTGTAAATATTTTTTTTTCTAGAGTCAGCCTCACCAAGGCTGGAAATAGCTGAGCAATTATATGAGAAATCCAAATTCTAAATAAAGCAAAATAAAATAGGAAGTAGGTAGATCTTTCTCAAACAGGAAGCGATGGTTGAAGATCAGCTGGCTCTAAAACAGGGTGGCTTGGGAGAAACAAGCCTCTTTATTGCTTTTCTGTCTTCTGCCAACTTGAATGTTTGGCCCTGTGTGGAACCAACCAATCATGGACTGAGACCTCTACAAACTAAGCTAAATAAACCTTTCCCTCCTTGATTTTAGGCATCAGGTATTTTGTCTCAGCAATGAGAGAAAAGTAATACAGAGGGAATTTAAAGAGGGAGTTAACATGTTCGTGATGGGGCTGGGATGTGTATGTGTCCCTGCCAGGAACTCTGATCCATGGAACAGTATTTACATGGAGAGCATGGGACAGGCCTTTTGGATGATATAAGCTACCTTAGGTTTCAGCTTGCAGGAATATTTTAAAGTGTGCTATGTAGGGCCTGGAGTTTGGCTCAGTGGCACGAGTGCCTACCTGGCAAGCGCAAGGTCATGAGTTTGATTCTCAGTACCAAAAAAAAAAAAAAAAAAAAAACTTTAAAAGTGTGCTCTGTATATGTACCAACTCCATGTAAGGAGTGCAAACATACTGAAAACAAATTTTTTCAGGAGGCTGGGGATATAGCTCAGTGGCACAAGTACCTGCCTGGCAAGTGCAAGGTCATGAGTTCAATCCCCATACCTAAAAAGAAAAAAAAATTTTTTTTCAAATAGGTGGCCAAGGGCCAGGGATTTAACTCAGTGGCATAAGCACCTACCTAGCAAGTTTGAGTTCGATTCCTGGTTTTTGTTTTTTTGGGGTTTTTTTTTTTTTTTTTTTTTTGTCTTTTTCCTTTTTAACGGTACCAGGGATTGAACTCACGACTGCCTGCTTGCAAGGCACGTGCTTATGCCGCTAAGCTAAATCCCCAGCCCCCGAGTTCGATTCCTGGTACCAAAAAAATAAATAAATAAAAAATAAAAATAAAATAGGTGGCCATGGTGGCACACATCTATGATCCCAGCTATATGGAAGAGGACAAATTCAAAGCCCACCTGGTCAATTCAGTGAGACCCTGTCTCAAACAGGATGTGGTGGCCCACGCCTGTCATCCCTGCATCTGTTATTCCCTAAATCCTTGTTATCAGTCTGGTCTTCTATATTTAGTGTGGTAAAATGCATAAAAAATATCATTTTAAGCAATTATTTTTATTTTGGCAGGTCTGTGTCAAAGTCTTTACATACTAGGCAAGTACCCTATCACAAGCAACACTCTCACACCACATCTGAACCAGTTTTCAGTTTACAGCTCAGTGGCATAGAGTATACTGTTGTGTACAGTAAATGTTTTTGTTTTTATATTTTTTTCATAAGGGGACAAGACTGTAGTATGTAGTTCAAACTTTGAACTCATCATGTAACCCAAAATGGCCTTGGAAGTCAAGGCGACCCTCCTGCCTCAGCCTCCCTAGTGCTGGGATTACAAACTTTAACCACCATACGAGGCGCGTGAAGTTTTTTAGGCAATTCATCTCGAAGCACTCTAGTCCTATTTGTCAAATTTCTTTCGCATATGATAGGGAAAATATCCTCTTTAAGGCGTCTTGCTTTTCTACAGATGTCTTCTCTTATGTTGCAAACTTTCCCAAATATTTTAGCCAATTAATCTAAGAAGAGAGTTCACAGATGGAGGTAAACCACAAAAAACACTTGATCCGCTCCATTACTGTCGCGTACTCAGGCTCTAGTATCGCGAGACAGCTCTACTCAAGGTAGGGGTGGGGCTTAACTGCATACGTCCCAGCGTCCTTAGCAAACTTCCAATTCCTTAACTGCGCATGTCATACACGTACGCCCCCTTCGTGAGCTATAAATATGGCTGCTCTGGCGGTTTTCTGTCTTTCGGCTGCGGGAACGGCGCCAGCGGTTTCGCTTGTTTTGTTTTGGTGAGCAGTTTTACCATCCTTGTTGCTATATTGTAGGCCTCGGTTCTGCAGGCAGTCTATCCTGAAAATATTAGTGAGAAGAAATACCTTCAGCTGCCTGCGTACCAATGAGGCAGGGAGGGCTGGAGTGGTTACGAAGACCCGGGGTCTGCGTACGAAGTGCGCCACTACACATTCTCGGGGCTGCTAAGTACGGCGTGGCCTCCGCTTCCCGTGGTGGTTCTGTAGTCAGTCCTACTTCCTAGCAGGCGCGTGTTCGATGCGCGTTTGATACTGGGCCTCCATCCGCGATAAAATTAAATTAAGGCTTTATAGATCGTAAAGAATTAGGGGCCAGCCATACTTGCTCTGAGTTTTGCATGGGTTAGCACATACTGTATCTCTGCTTTTGCCATTACTATCCGCTCAGTGCCTGTTAAGTTTCGAATACTGTTGATAACTCGATGATCTTGAAGTTGAGTTTTGGTTGCATTTTGGGGTTTGACCACAGTATATCCAGAAAAATCGCTGTACATCAGGTAAAAATTGCTCAGAGTGCCTTTGTTACATGAGTTTCTGACTGTCCCAACGTGGATACCCCGGGAGGTCACTCTCCCCGGGCTCTGTCCAGGTGGCATAGGGGAGCATAGGGCTCTGCCCCGTGATGTACAGTCCCTTTCCACGACGTTGGAGAAGAAGCCGGGCCTTGTGTCTGCGCCTGCATATTCCTACAACTTCTCAGAGTCCTTTGGACAGTGACTGAGGAGATAAACCATGCAGGAAACAGTCTTAGATTTGTATGTAAATTAGTCTCATTGAAAAAAATCTGTTTTAATGTCTTGCTTGGTGAATCATTTTCCTTACAGAATTCTTTGAAGATTCCAGATAACTTTTTAGTCAGGTAAGTAAATCAGCACAATTGTTTTTGATTAACTGTCAACTGATAATTAGTCGAGCTCTACTTTTTTTTTTTTTGAGCTCTACTTTTGAGGCATTTAATCATTATAAACGCAAAATACTGCTATTCATTTACTAACTTGATACTGTGTATAATTTGAGTATATTTGTTTCTTAAAAAAAAAAAAACCGTGGTTAAAGCCGGATATGGTGACACAAGCCTGTTGTGATCCAGTGCTTGAGAGGCAAAGGCAAGATGATTTGAGGCCAGCATGAGTTACATAGTAAGTTAAAGGTCAGCCTGAATTACAGTGTAATTCAGGGACCGCACAGCAAGACTCTTGTCTCAAAGACAAAGATTTGTTTGATCAAACTGTTATTATGAGACACAGAATTTTTAATCTGTTAAGAGTCAAATGTGTGACTTTGTGGTAGGGTAGTACAAGGTCGAGAAATGAAGTTGAGAGTGAGTTTTATTGCAAATAAGAGCGTACTTTCTGGCTTTCCAGAAAGGGTCTTAAATTGGGTAACTTCAGAGACCCTTTGTTATTTACGTAGCAAAGTCATACTGCCATTGACCTATAGGGTTATGAGTAAAACTGCTTAGCTAATACTAATGTAATAGAGAAATGAGTCAAGTAGCAAAGGTGTATGGAAAGAATAAAGGCTGTGCTTTTTTCTTTTTTTAAAAAACAAGCTCTTGCCATGTCGTCCAGACTGTTTATTATGGTAGAGTCCTATTCCTATGCATCTAGGTAATAACTTAAGTAGGGATTCAAGAAAAGCCTGTGAAATTGTTTGGATTTGTCTTGCTCTGCATTGAAGGCAGGAAATCCAACGTGGATACCCCGGGAGGTCACTCTCCCCGGGCTCTGTCCAGGTGGCATAGGGGAGCATAGGGCTCTGCCCCGTGATGTACAGTCCCTTTCCATGACGTTGGAGAAGAAGCTGGGCCTTGTGTCTGCGCCTGCATATTCCTACAACTTCTCAGAGTCCTTTGGGCAGTGACTGAGGAGATAAACCATGCAGGAAACAATGTTTAGTCAGGTTAAGCCTTCAAACTTGAGTTTACAACTGTCTAGGGTTTACCTCAGCGGCAGGCACAAGCACCTGCCAGGCAGGTGACGTGAGCTCAATCCCCAGTATCAAAAAAAATAAATTTGAGGGGCTGGGCATTTAGCTCAGCAGCATAAGCACCTGCCTTGCAAGCAGGTGGTTCGTGAGTTCGATCTCCAGTACCGATAAAAATGAAAAAGACCAAAAAAATGGAAAAAAAAATAAATTTGAATTACAAACTTCAAAAATATAATCTTGTGTTCCTTTTCTTTCAGGAAGAGTAACCATACTGGACTTACATCTAATGACCTGGTTTTATTTGGGTTCCTTGAATTAGGGAAACCTGGTAAAGTGATGGTGGTTATCTTTGGGGATTTTTCCAGTAATACTGTTTACCTGCATTTGTGTTATTTGTCTGGTTTGTTTTTAGGTGGGGAATCACTATAGTTTTTATTTTTTCTTTTTTGAGAGAGGGTCTTGCCTATGTAGTTCAGGCCTGCCTTGAACTCCTTTGTATCCCAGGCTGGTCTTGAATTTTTAACAATCCTACCTTAGCCTCCTGCGTATTGGGGTTGCAGGATAAGATACCACACATGGGTTGTTTTCGGTTTTTTTAAGATGGAATCCCTATGTAGTTTAGGCTGTCCTTGAACTGTGCTCTCCTGCCTCAGCTTTCCAGATGCTTTTTAAATGGACATAATTAAGTGGGGAGAAAATGTTCAAATGAAAGGAAACACAGGAGAGAATAGAGATTTTAAAAATTAAGTAGATTGTTTTTGATTTTTGTTGTTTATTTGGGGGAGGTTTTTTTTCTCACTGACACCAGGCCTGAGCTAAATCCCCAGCCCCAGTTTGGGATTTTCAAGCAATTAAGACTTTGAATGGATTATAAATGTGTAAAATCACATGTGTATATATTTGTAGAGAAATCATGTTTGGGTTTTCTGCTGTAAATAAACATGAATGTATTTGTAATTCTGAGATCAAACTAATGTGTTGAAATAAAAGATTATATATTTGTGTGGGTTTTTTTATGTGTAAATGTCAAGAGGGTTTCAATTTAAACTTTTTTTTTTTTTTTTTTGTTAATCGGTACTGGGGATCAGGAATCGAACTCACGACCTGCCTGCTTGCAAGGCAGGTACTTATACCACTGAGCTAAATCCCCAGCCCCTAAACAATTTTTATGAACAGGAAATAAGTTTGCTTCCAGATTGTTTCAACAAAACAGGCCTCAAAGCATTGGACTCATTGCATTTTGCTTAGCTTAGGTGGCTCATTGTTTAGAACTAGTGGTGAAAACACTAGTTTTGAAATACTCATCAAGTAATAACTGGTCCTAGATATTGAATGAGGATTCTGCATTGCATTGCTTGTTAGACAAGTACTCAAATTAGTTTTGGTCTTGGACAGATAATACGCTATCGCCTAGTTGCCAACCTGCCTCCTACTGTGAGATGTCACAATGGAAGCCTTGTAAAACGACCTTGTCAACAGCATTGCACAAGGTAAAAGATTGAAGGATGGTGAGATGGTAAACCACCTGAAAGGTAGTATAGTTTCTGGTTTGGGCTGAGTTAATTTACAGGGGTGGAGGTGACAGACAGGGACTGATTCCAAAGCAGTTGGAGATAAGATTGTGACTAGGTGAATTTGGGTGAGGCAACTGCATTTGCTCAGATGAGCTTTTATGCTAACCAATTACAGAAAGATAATATTCTGTCTATGAAGAGAAGAATGAAGTGCAGGGGTTTCCTAGCAGTTTAACTCAGGACCTTTACACTGAGCTGTATACTAACCCTTTGAGACTAGGTCTCACTTAAATTGCCCAGACAGAATTTACCACCCTGCCTCAGCCTCCTGATGCTAACATAGTTGTGTGCCAAGTCATACCTGGTTCTGCTTTTTTTGTGTAAATAAGAGTAGAAAAGTGTATTTCCCTGTGTTAAGCATTTGTGACAGGCACTGCTGTAATTTTCATATATTGATTCTCCTTTTTCTTGCCCTATGTGAGATTAATCAGGATTACCTGGGCCAGGGATGTAGCTCAACATAGCATCTACCTTAAAAGTACAAGGTCCAGAGTGTGTTTAATTGGTACCAGGGATCAAACCACCTTGTGCTTGCAAGGCCAGCACAGCTGAGCTAAATCTCCAGCCCAAGGTCCTGCATTTGACTTTTTTTTATTATACCTTGGATTGAACTCACGACCATGCGATTGCAAGGCATGCACTTAAAGTGCTGAACTAAGTCCCTAGTCCCTGACTTTGATTTATAGTACCAAGGAAATTGCCCAAGTTCATAACTGAGCAGATCTTCTGCACAAAGTACTGAACACCAGCTGAAGAAACCAGACGGAGAGGCATGTTCATTTATGGGGCCATTATCTGTTCACCGAAGGCTGGCCATTGTTCATTGTACTAACAGGCTTTGTCTAAAGGGAGTGACTGGCTAGTAAAATGTTAAAACAATGTTATCTTTTCCCATGAGTTTTCAGTTCAGATTCAATAAGAGCTGTATGACTGCAGTGCTGAGCAATAACCAAAGTAGCTATCACAAGTGTTTTAGGGCCTCCTACCCGGTGGAGACCAGCTTGCATTAATTAAATCTTCCTCCGGACTTCTGGCCATTTCCTGCCTTTGTGTCCCTTGTCAAATTTGAGTCACTGGCTGGGCATGGGAACTCATCTAATCCCAGCACTCAGAGGCTGAGGCAGGAGGATCATTTCGAGTTCCAAAGTGAGCTCAAGGCCAGCTGAAACTGCATAGCGAGCGAGACCCCGTCTCAAAAAGACAAATTTGAGTCACTGAATTTGTATACTAACAAGTGAATGTGATCTTGGAAGAGTCACAACTTCATCTGCAAAGTACTTGTCTTAGGGTAGTGGCATATAACTAATTCCCGTCCCTTGAGGTTGAAACAGGATTTTCCTGTGTTCTAGTATATAGGCTGTTTACCTCATAGATCCTATTAAACCACGGTGGTACACGCTTGTAGTTCTAGCACACTAGGAGGCTGAGGTAGAACAATCACAAATTCAAACCCATTTTAAAGGAATTTGGCAAGACCTTGTCTCAAACTGGTTATAGGCATGGTGGTACTTAGCTATAATCCCAGGACCCAGGAAGTTGAGGCAAAAAGATTGGACTGACCCCAATCTGGGTTGCACTGTAAGGCTGCATCTCAAAAAAAAAAAAAAAAAAAAAAAAAAATTCAATACCCTGGGTTTGATCCACTATCAAAAAGCCTCAGGGTTTTAGTCAGGATTTGTTCTTGTGTTTTGAGACAGGGTTTCACTGTATAGTGCAGGATTTCACTGTGTAGCTTTGAACTCACTTTGAAGTCCAGGCTGGGCTCAAACTCCCAGCCATCTTTTTGCTTAACTGCTAGGATTATAGGTGTGTGCCACCACACCCTGCCATTTTTATATTTTGAAACAGGACCCTGCTAAATAGGCTAGGCCCATTTGTGATCCTCTTGTCTCGGCCCCATAAGTATTGGAATTACAAGTGTGTGCCACTGTGCCTGCCCAGAACTTTATGTTAGACAAATGTAGTGAACACTACATAAAACTCAGTTGCAGTTTCAATGAGTTATAGTTGTTCCTTGTTAGCTTCAGGGGATTGGTTCCAATACCTCCCAGGAGATAAGATTTAATGTATATAATGTAGTCTGTAAGTAGTTGTGTTGTCTGGGAAATAATGAGGAAAAGAGCCAGTTTCCTGGGTAGTAAGGGCCCTTCTCTAGCCAAATCTCCCCATTTCACCCATCTTTCTGTATGTCTTTACCATGGACTAAAACATGGACAGAAAGCATGTCTTTATGACAGTACCCTACATTTGATGGGAATGTGCCACATGATAGGATTCTCTAATTCTCACAACAGCTCTGTGGTGCAGGGAGTTTCATTCAGTTAATTGTGTAGGTAAGGAAGATATTTATCCATACTTAATAACAAGACATTTAAGGAACTACTGGCCAATAGAGCCTGAACTTTTTTTTTCTTTGTCTTTTGAAACAGGATCTGACTTTGTAGTTTAGGCTGGCTTGGACTTTACCATGTATCCCATGCTGGCCTCACACTTGTGGCAATCCTACGTCAGCCTCCCAAGGTATGGGGTTACAGGTGTGTACCTATGCTCTAAGAGCCTGAACCACTATCTTCACCTCCCCTTTTAAGCATCCAGAGGAGCATTCCTGGCTCTCAAAGGCAGGGTAATACCTTAAGCATTGCTTCTGTATCATTATTACCCTGATGTGGGTTTATTGTTGTTGTTTTGGAGGGGTTATTTTGTTTTTGCGTCAGGATTTTGCTATATATCTCAGGCTGGCCTTGAACTTATTGTTGTAGCCCAGGCAAGGGTCAAACTTGTGATGCTCCTGCTCCGCCTCCTGAGTTGCTGGGATTACAGGCATGCACCACCATCAGCAGCAATGTGGTTATTTTCTATTTAATGTCTACCTAATTTACTAGTAGGGGGAACCTCTGGAAAAGGAACTGTACATTTGCAAATACTTGTGACTATTATTTTACTATGTTTTATTGATTTCTGTTTTGATCTTTATTATCTCTTTTTTTATTTTTGCTAAGTTAGGGGTTAGCTTGCTCTTTTCCTAGTTTCCTAGGGTAGAGGCTTAAGTCATTCATTTGAGATCTTTGTTTTTGCATTTTAAAAATTTTACTAGTACATTTTTAGATATACATAATGATAATATTCATTATAGGAAATTTGTTTTTATTGGTACCGGGGTTCAAACTCACGACCACACGCTTATAAGGCAGGCACTTATACCATTGAGCTAAACCCCCAGCCATTATAGGAAATTTGTACCTATACATGATATATCTTGATTCTACATTTTTCCCGTATCCCTCCCTCCCTTTAACCCCTCTTCTCCTGCTTATTTACCAAGGCTTTGTTTCTATTTTTTTCCTGCTATTCTTTTTTTTTTTTTCCTTGTCCCTTCCTTCTTTTCCTCTTTCCCCTTGTTCCCTTTTTCATTGAACATTACTTCCCATTTCCAAATATCTGGTACACATTTTGGTCGTTACTTATACTTCCATTTCTCACATTTGAGAAACAGTGCAATATTTAAATGTGTCTGGATATGAGTATGGGTTTGGTAGTACAGACCTATAATCCCAGCATTTGAGAGGCTGAACCAGGAGGACTGCCATGACTTAGAGCCTAGTTTGGGCTACACAGTGAGTTCAAGTCCAGGTTTTTTGTTTTGTTTTGTTTTTGTCTTTTTCGTTTTTATCGGTATCAGGGATCGAACTCACGACTGCCTGCTTACAATGCAGGCGCTTATGCCACTGAGCTAAATCCCCGGCCCCCTCAAGTCCAGGTTTAACTACACAGCAAGACCCTGTCTAAACAAAAGTTAAAAAAAAAAAAAAACATGAGTGTACTATTTACTCACTTAAGATCATACTCACTTAAGAGTATGATCTCAAGTTGCATCCATTTAGCTAGAAATGTCTCAAGCTTATCCTTTATGGCAGAGTAGTACTCTATGTAAAAAAAAACCCTCATATCCTTTTTTTGGTCTTTTTCTTTTTTATCGGTACCAGGAATTGAACTCAACGACTGTCTGCTTGCAAGGCAGGTGCTTATGCCACTGAGCTAAATCCCCAGCCTCCTTTACTGTATTCTTACTGAATGGCTTTTTTTGGTTGGTTGGTTGATTTTTGTGGTACTGGGGATTAAACCCAAATATTCCCAGATTTTGTTTGGGTTTTTTGTTTGTTTGTTTGTTTGTTTTTGAGGCAGGGTCTCACTATGTAACTCAGGCTGGCCTTGAACTCTCAATGATCCTCTTGCCTCAGCCTACCAAGTGGTGGGTTTACAGTGCAGGTGTGTGCCAAAACGTGCAGCCCTTTTTTCTTTGTCGTCTTCTTTTTTTTTTTTTTTTTTTTTGAGACAGGGTCTCACTGTATAGTCCATGATGGCCTCTGACTGACAGTCCTCTTGCCTTAACCTCCCTAGTGTGGGAATTTGGTATATGTATACCACTACACCTAGGTCTGTATGTACATATGGGTGGGTAGATCAATCGATCGATATTACAGTTGCCTCACATAACTATAGGAGCCAACAAGTCTGAAATGTGCAGGGCAGGATGAAAATTCCAGCAAGAAGAATTGATGATGTAGTCATGAGTCAACTTTTTTTTTTTTGACTTTTTGAGACAGGATCTCACTATGCAGTTCAGGCTGGCCCTGAGTTTACTTTGTAGCCCACGCTAGTATCACACTTGCAATGATCCTCCTGCCTCAACCTCCCGAAAGCTGGGATTACAGGTGTGTACCACTACACCTGGTTTGAGATAATAATGTTAAGTGTAATAAACCAGACACACAAACTTAAATATGGCATGGTTTTTCTTAAAGTATTAAAGAGCAAAATAAAAGACAGTAGGAAATGGAATTAGATCTTTTACAAATAGGAAAAGGACATAGATGCAGAAAGGGAGAGAAGGCAAGGGAAGAAGACATAAAAGTAATTGGATGCATTTGTTTACTCAATTTTGTTAGCTTTGGCTTTGTTCTGTCTTGTTAGATTTTACACTGTCAGATGGTAGGGGCAGCTATTTTGAATATAATGGGATAGTCTATGGTAATCATGGTTTCCTATTATATTGCTTTAAAGTCTTATAATGCTTTCATTCATTGGTTTGATTGATTTTATTGTTTTGTTTGATTTTATTAAGTGATGGTATGAACAGCTATTTTGAAGAAAACAAGACATTATGGTAGCCATTGCTGATTTACTATCATCTTGCTTTGATGTCCTATCATGCTTTTGTTCTTGTTTTGATTGGTTCTATCTTGTTATGTCTTATTTGATTTTATTATGTGTGATAGTATAAACAAATTTTTTGAAGAAAATGAGATATTATAGTAGCCATTGTTCACTTCCTGTTATTTGGTTTTGAAGTCCTGTAATGCTTTCATTCTTTTAAATGATTTTATACTATTTTGTTACGTTCAGTATTATTGTGTATGAAGGTACGCTCAGCTATGTCCAAGAAAAGAGACATTATGGTAGCTACTGTTGATGTCTAGTTGTCTTGTTGTGAAGTGCTGTGTTGCTCACATTGTTCTGTTCTGATTTGCTTTGTTATTCTCTTTAAAATAAAAAAAATTTTAAAAGGTAATTGAAGTACATGTACCAACTCCCCACAATGAATGAAATTATATGTATTGCAAACATGTGTCAATAAAAGCAAAAAATTTTTAATTAAATTTATTGGTACATTTAAGGTATACTTGCCATTTGTACCTGTACATGGTATATCTTGATTAGTTTTCCCCCTTCCTTTATCCTCGCTGCAAACCTTCTTCTCCTACTTATTTACAAAAGCTTAGTTTCCATTTTTTCCTTTTTTTCACATTAATGAAATATATTTAAATTTTTTAATGCTTATGAACTAGAATGAAGTTTCAAAGATTTCTAAGTGAGAAGATATCTCACAGGAAGCCATGATTTAAGGTAGAGATAAGGGTGGAACTAAATTAAAGAAATGAGCAGGCCTAGCCAGGAGTAGAGACAGCCTTTTAGACAGGCCTAGCCTGTCTAAAAGGTTGTGCTTTAGACAGAAAATGAAAACATGAAGAGGAAAGGAGAGGGAAGAATTAAAAAATAAAGAATTTGTATATTTCAGGGACATATTGACTAGAAGGATAAATTTGAGGGAATCAAGATCCATGGGGGAGGCATTGAGGGTTTTTTTGTTTTGTTTTTTGTTTTTTTTGGTCTTTTGTTTTTATCGGTACCAGGGATCAAACTCAGGACTGCCTGCTTGCAAGGCAGGCGCTTATGCCACTGAGCTAAATCCCCAGCCCCACACTGAGGGTTTTTTAATTGGCTTTGGTTTGCTTGGTTGTTTTTTGTTTTGTTTTCTACACAGGTTGTTGCTACATAGTTCATGATTCAATAGGGAGCCTCCTGTTGTTGAGATTATAGGCATATGCTACCATGCCCATCTGAGTTTTATTTTGAACTCTCAGTTCAAGATGTTCAATTTTAGGGGCTGGGGATTTAGCTCAGCAACATAAGTGCTGCCTTGCAAGCAGGCAGTTGTGAGTTCAATCCCCGGTACCGATAAAAAGGAAAAAGACAAAAAAAAAAAAGATGTTTAATTTTAGTCCTTCATGGTAGTGGATGCCTATAATCCCAGCACTGGGTAAGCTGAGGCAGGAGGATTGCTGTGAGTTTGAGGACAGCTACTTGGGCTACCTTGTTTAAGATCAACCTGCTGATTTTGAAGTTGCAAGAATCCTCCTGCCTCAGACTCATTAGTGCTGGGATTACAGGAGTGTGCCATCACACCCAGCTTTTAAAAAAATTTTTTTTAACTGGCCATGATTGTGTATACCTGTAATCCTAGCACTCTAGGAGGCTGACGTATTTGGTTACAAGTTTGAGTCTATCCTGGGCAATTTAGAATTTAAGGCCCTGACTAAAATAAAAATGAGGGCTGGAGATGTGGTTAAGTGGTAGAGCTCTTCTTGCTTTGAATGCATAAGGCCCTGAGTTCCGTCCCCAGCACCACAATACATACATACATACACACTAAAAAAGGGCTAGGGGTGTAGCTCAGAAGTCCCTGAGTTCAATCCCCAGTACTAAAAAAAAGAAAAATATTTTTTAAAAAGTGATGGGCTGGGGGCTGGGGATTTAGCTCAGCAGCATAAGCGCCTGCCTTGCAAGCAGGCAGTCGTGAGTTGGATCACTGGTACCAATAAAAATGAAAAAGACAAAAAAAAAAAGTGATGGGCTGGAGCTGGGGATTTAGCTCAGAGGCATAAGTGCCTTCCTTGCAAGTGTGGGGTCGTGAGTTCGATCCCTGGTACTGATAAAAACGAAAAAAAAAAAAAAAAAAGTGATGGGCTAGGCCTGGGTGTAGATATTTGTAGAGTACCTGCCTAACATATGCCAGGCCTGGATTTCATGCCCAGTATAGGAAAAAAGGAAAGAGCATGACCCAGCCAAGAACAGGAGTTAAGTCCTTTCCACCACTTGTATGATGACCCTAGAAAATTGTGTAACCTATTTCATCTCATTTTCCAACCATCATGAGATTTTTTATTTTTTTATTTATTTTTTCTTTTTTTATCGG